ATAGTAAAAGAAATCTTCAGAAATAAGAATAAAGTTGGAGGTATCACGCACTCTTATCTCAAACTATACTACAAAGCTATAATAATCAAAACAGTATGGTACTGACTCAAAAAACAGACACACAGATCAATGGAATAGAAGACAACTGCCCTGGCTGGTGTAACTCAGTGGATTGAGCGTGGGCCGGCAAACCAAAGAATCGTGGTTTGATTCCCAGTTGGGGCACATGCCTGGGTTGCAGGCCAGTTCCTAGCAGGGGACTCACAAGAGGCAACCACACATTGACATTTCTCTCCCTCTCTCCTTCCCTTCCCCTCTAAAGATAAATAAATAAAATATTTTTAAAAAAAGACAACTGAGAAAAAACCCTTGCTTTTATGGTCAACTAATTTATGATAAAGGAGGTAAAACTATACATTAAAGTAATGAAGTTCTCTTCAACAAATGGTGTTGGAATAACTGGACTACTTGTTTATCCCATATAAAAAAGTAAACTCAAAATGGCTTAAAGACTTCATTGTAAGCCCTGAAACCATGAAACTCCTAGAAGAAAACATGGGAAGTAAACTATCTGACATCAGTCTGAGTAATATCTTTTCGTTAGTATCCCCTAGAGCAACAGAAACAAAAGAAAAAAAATAAACAAATGGGACTATCTCAAACTAAAAACCCGCACAGTGAAGGAAACCTTCAACAAAACATAAAGGCAACCTACTGAATGACAGAATATATTTACAAATGATATATTCTGGTAAGAGGTTGATATCTAAAATATATAAGAAACTCACACAAATCAATAACAAAAAGTAAATAATTCAATTAAAAAAATGGGCAGACAACATGAAAAGACATCTTTCCAAAGAAGACACACAGATGGCAAAAAAAATTAAGTTAAAAATAGATTAAAAAACAGATGGCCAAGAGACATATGAAAAGATTCCCAACATCACTAATCACCAGGAAAATGCATATCAAAACCACAGTGAAATACCACCTCACAACAGTCAGACCGTCTATTATCAAAAGGTCAACAAATAATGTCGGTGAAGATGTGGAGAAAAGGGAACCCTCATGAACTGTTTGTGGGACTGCAAATTTGTGCAGCTGCTATCGAAAACAGTATGGAGATTCCTCACATAACTGAAAATAGATATACCCTATGACCCAGCAACTCCACTACTGGGTATTTATCCAAATAATTAAAAAAGATACATGCACCTCCCTTTGTTCATTGCAGCATTATTTACAATAGCCAAGATATAGAACCAATCTACTTGTCCATGGATAGATGAGTGGATAAAGAAGATATGTTATATCTCACGCATACACAGAGGAATATTATGCAGCAACAAAAAAAGAATGAAATCTTGCCACTTGTGACAACACAGATGGATCTAGGATATTATGCTATATGCTAAGTGAAATAAGTCAGGCATAGAAAGACAAATACCATATGATTTCACTTATATGTGGAATCAAAAACACAAAACAAAACAAATGAACAAAATAGAAAGAGAGACACAAGATGGTTATCAGAAGAGAGGGCGGTGGGAGTGTGGGTAAAAAGGGGGGGTGGATATAGTCAATAATATTATGATAAGTTTACACAGTGACAGGTGATTACTCAAATTATTGGGTGATCAATCACACTCTAAAATATAAAAATGTACCCTGGCTGGTGTAGCTCAGTGGACTGAGTGCAGGCCTGCGAATTAGAGGGTTGCTGGTTCGATTCCCAGTCTAGGGCACATGCCTAAGTTGCAGGCCAGGTCCCCAGTGGGGAGCACATGAGAGGCAACCACAGATTGATGTTTCTCGCCCACTCTTTCTCCTTCCCTTCCCCTCTCTCTAAAAATAAATAAAATCTTTTTTTTAAATGTTGAATCGCTGCATTATACACCTGAAACTAATATGACCAATGTAAGATTATATACCAACTATACTTAAATTTAATTTAAAAAGTCATTTGACAAAAAAAAGAAAAAGAAAACAGAAGACAGCCCTGACTGGTGTGGCTCAGTTGATTAGGGGTCATAGTGCAAACCTAGAGGTCAGGGCACATGCCTGGGTTGCGTGTTTGGTCCCCAGTAAGGGCGCCTGCAACAGGCAACCGATCAATGTTTCTCTCTTACACCGATATTTGTCTGCCTCTCTTTCTCCCTCCCTTCCCTTCTCTTGAGAATAAAATTAAAAAATTTTAAGAAGACAAAGACTAGCTGATCAAGGATTTTTCAATATTTGCCTGACCTTCAAAGGTGGATTTGATTTGGACTGCAGCATAAAGAACAAGTCTTTGAGTCCCTCCTTTCGTGTACATTTAGCATCTGGACCTGACTTTAGAGTGACAGGCGGCTCTGACGCCTTAAAAGCCCGTGGCGAGCTCTCTATCATAATCTCAAGAGGGGTCTTTTGCTACTTGCTTTTGACTTAGGGGTATTAACCGGACCCTTAGCACCTCAGTCAGGTTTGGGAGTTCTCCATTCACTTGGCCTCCCCTGTGTTTTCTCTGTACGAAGAAGTGCTTCTCCTTTCCACGTGGTTTGGCTCTACGGGTAGAGGACTCGCACCCCTGTGATGGGCACCCAAGGCCACACTCTGAGTTCACGAAGGCTTGTGAAGCGCTCCGCTCTGGCAGGATAGAATCGTTTCAACTCTCACTTCTCTTTCCTGTGAAGTCAGTCACTTGGTTTGCTGCGGATCGCTCAGCACCCACCTCTGTTTGCACCATCCAGCTCCTGAAGCGCTCCCGGACTACTTATCGGGTCCTCGTGAGGTTCAGGAGGTAAAGAGACTCAAACACAGCAGCTCCAGCAACATGAGAGTGGCTTTTCTCTCTCCCGTGTAGCGGTCCACACTCAGTCTGTGGGCTCCGCACCACGCGGCCATCCGGGGGCTTTCATCTCTGGGTGTCCAGTTGTCACCACTTCACAACTGGTAGAAGGAGGGACAGAGAGGACATGGAGGACAATCCTGTTTTTTAGCAAGTGATGCTGACACCTCTCAGCTCTCTTTCCCTCACTTCCACGGCAGCATGTAGTCGGTCAGGCGGCCTCACCCAGCAGCAAGAGAGGCTGGGAAATGCTCCTCGTGAGCAGCCGCAATAATTTCTGGCACATTTGCAGCAGCCTCTTCATTAGAAGTTAAAAGATAGCCTTTAAAAAAAAAAGATGAATTGTTTTCTCTAGAATGCAAATGGTTTGTAGTGGGGCAGTGTCTTTCACCCACTTCCTTCCCTGACCATGTGCTCGCTTCGCCGCTCCCATGGAGCAAATGTTGGGGTGCGCGTCCACATGCCCTCCTCACTCTCAGTAGGCATTTGATTGCTGGCATTTTGGGGGGGATGTAAGAGAGGCATCGAAGAAGACAATGACCAATGGGGGAATTGGAGGTTGTCCTGCGAAGGCTGGTTTGGGAAGGATTGGTGTGTTTAGCGTGGAGAAGAGAACAAGAAAAATGAGATTGTTTTTCTCAAGTGGTTGAAGGGCTGGCAGGTAGGAGGTTCAGCCCTCTTTCTTGCCGCTCCTGAAAGTAGAATTGTGATTAATGGATACAGAAGTTATTAGGATTTACTTGAAATAATAAAGAAGGGGGATTTTTTTTTGAATATGATTATTGACTTCAGAGAGCAGGGAAGGGAAGAAGAGAGAGAGGGAGAGAAACATTGATGTGAGAGAAGCATCGATCGGTTGCCTCTTGTACCTGCCCTACTGGGGACCAAACCTGCAACCTCACCGGGACTCAAACCGTGACTGGAAATCAAACTTACAACCTTTCGGTTTATGGAATGATGTTCCAGCCAACTGAGTCACACCAACCAGGGCTGAAGAGGTTTTATTTGGTTGTCAAAAAGCAGGACGGCAGCTCTGGCTGGTGTAGCTCAGTTAATTGAGCGCGGGCCTGTGAACCATGCGATCGAGGTTCGATTCCCAGTCAGGGCACATGCCTGGGTAGCAGGCCAGTTCCCAGTGGGGGACACATGAGAGGCAACCACACATTGATGTTTCTCTCCCTCTCTTTCTCTTTTCCTTCCCCTCTCTCTGAAAATAAATAAATAAAATATTTTTAAAAAAAGCAGGATGGGCAGACTTAACTGGTAAGCTATTCACCATCGGATGTTCCATATTCCTAGTGCTCAAGGTATTCACTCAGGTTTTAGACGTTAGGAGAATTGACTAGCTAGGGGGTTAGAACTGACAGAGACCACCTTCTTCATGAGGTGAAAAGCACTTTAATTCTTTGCCTCTCTTATCCTCCATGAGGTAAAAATGCTCCCTTGGTGGGGTAAGTGTCACCCCAATGCCACCAATGTATTATTTGCATGGGTCGTCATAGACCTGAGATCTTCAAACACAAAACTTGCAAACTTTGTGCTGCTTGACCTTTGCTGTTGGCTGGTCCAGGCCCATCTCAGATTCTTCATGAAGAATCTTCATAAACTTTGCTCATAAAGTTCTTCACGGCCTCCCACCTGGCGCCATCTCTTTCCTTCTCTGGAGCCCTCGTGGGATGCGGTACTGATTTTCCCGTAGCGTTTCTTATTTTCCCTGCAGGGGAGGTAGCTCTGTACTTCCCTCACCATCAGCCTCTAGGCTCTCTAACTGGGAGGACTTCTTCGTCCTCACACCGCCGGCACTGCCTGGGACGGCGCTTTTCCTCAGTGGGTGCTCAACAAACACTTCTTGACTGGGACCAGGTAATTCTCTGATCTCACTGGCTTTGGGGACAGATTTTGCTCTTCTGGGCACCAGTCCTTTTGCTTGTATTTCCTCATGAAATGGTGCCTTCGTCTGTCCTCATGGTCTTCAGCAGCAAAGTGCGGGGCCGGAGGAGTCGGCCTTTAGGTTCTGCCAGCCCCGTCCTCTGTGCTGGGCTGCGCTCGGCAGAATGGCATCTGGCCGTCCACAGCTGGTAGACGTTTCCTTTCCCGATGCTGCCCAGGAAGTCACTGCCCGGTCACGTGGTGCACGCGGCTGAGTGATGCATGGGCGCTGTCTCCCCAGGTCTGTGTGCATCGCCATGGAGGCGCTGGACCAGCTGCTCATGGCCTGCCACTGCCAGAGCATCAACCTGTTCGTGGAGAGCTTCCTCAAGATGGTGGCCAAGCTTCTGGAGTCGGAGAAGCCCAACCTGCAGATCCTCGGCACCAACTCGGTGAGTGGCCCCGCGAGGGGCCGGGTCAGGGGACGGCGGTGGGGCCTCTGGGCCGGCGCTGGGATCCATTCCCATTTGGTTTCCGACCCTGAGCACAACCCAGTGCTCGTCCCACTGTCCCCCTTTTGTGTGACTAAGGCTGCGTTTAGTTTTTACTTGAATATAAATATTTGATTTCTATATGATAATGTATATAACTATATCCTAGATAAAATTCATTTTAAAAATAAAGTTCCCCATATTAAAGCACATGATTCAGGGTTCTGGTATATTCCCAAGGCTGTGCGACCATCGCCATTATCCAAGATAGTCGATGTTTACCTTTAGACTGGTGATCTCCGGACTTTTTCTAGCAGCATATTTTCCCCTTAAGTAATTCTAAGTGGGGCCCTAAGAGGTGAAAACAGATGGGAAGGGATGGGAGGGGGCGCCTGGCGCCCTCACAGCTCGGCCCCGGCTGCGCCCCTTTCAGAACTAGGATAAACTGACATTTACAGCACAGGGGTGCCAGGTAAGGGAGAGATCACAGGAAGCAGGAATCCAGGCTCCTGACTCAGTTCTGCCCGTACGTGGCCGGGTAAGCTCGAGTGTGTTACCGTCTCCCAGCCTCAGTCTTCCTGTGGATTCCAAGAGCACAGCGACTCTCCAAGCTCTGGAATACGGGTCTCAAACCGTGACTGCTGTGGGGGGGGGGCGGTGAGGGTTTGGGGGGACTGAGCCACCACATGTGCCCAGGACTCCCAGCTTCACACGGCTGTTGGCTGTCCATAGGTATTCGAGTACTGAGTGTTGCCGAGCTGAGAACTTCTACGATTTCTCACCCTTCTTTTTAGTTCCCCTTCAGGGTGTATTTCCAGCTCAATCTTCAGGCAGCTAGGTGTTAAAAGCTCTGATATGCAACTCTGTTACAGATATCACCCCAAAAACGTTTAAGGGTTCCCCCCTGAGCATCCCCTGCTGACTCTTCTGAATTCTCATCGCATGGGTCACAACTGCTTTTCCCGTTCTGCATGAGCTGAGGTCACCAGAAAACGGTCTTCCGACTTTGCTGTCTAAGACCGAAGTCACAACCAACACCCTTCTCTTTCCTCCCTCTTGGTCCAGCTGCCTTTGATAAATTACATGTACAGTAGCTGAGGGCGGAGTCTTTTGTCAGGTTGCCCTGGCAACAGCTTCAGATACTGTATTACTTGTCCTGTTTCAGATAACTATGGTCTAGAAGAGAACATCTGAATTGAAAATAAACCAGTCATCTAGAAGGCGTGTCCCCACGACAGGGGCGGTGGGACACAGAAGCAGGTGGCCACTGGCTCTCGCTTTCCCCACAGCAGATCCTGGCCCTGGGTGGGCGTTTTGTTAACTGTACGCTTGACAATTCAGGGCCCTGCAAACTGCTAGATCCCTATCACAGGGAATCGTTGCATCAGCAAGGCAGTGAGTTCGACTAATGATCTGTACAGCAGACTGTGAGGGTTGTGTAAGGACAAGCAATTATAAGAACGCCAAGTCAAATAATTGCAGTCGACTCAGAGTCCAGCCTCGGAGGCAGCCTCTGCTAGTGATGGCTGTCACCTGGATGCTCCTTCCAGCTCTCTAAGCTGGAAGCCTCTTGGACCTTCCCAAGAGGGACATTCTTTTGCTCCTCATCGTTTTAGAACTGCCAGCGTGGGAGTGCTTGATATAATCTTAGAGAGTCGGGCCTAGGCGTTTCAACTGGTTCTCCTGGGGAGTTGGAGGTATTGTGGGGGCCCCGGGGGGGGGGGGGCTGCTACGGGAGGAGGAACGGAAGGGCTCTGTGTGGAAGCTTGCAACATTTCTTTTGGATAAAGGGTTTTCCTGTCAGAAAGTTGAAAGGAAACAAGGAAGGAGGAAAGAAAGAAAGAGAGAAAGAGAGAGAGAGAAGGGAGGAAGGAAGGAAGGAAGGAAGGAAGGAAGGAAGGAAGGAAGGAAGGAAGGAAGGAAGGAAGGAAGGGAGGAAGGAAAAGAAAAAGAAAACTAGAGCTTACCTACCACCCCCATTTTGCTGGATTTTTCCACCTGGAAACGGGGCCCTGGAAAGTCAAGTAGCTCATCTGTGCCCCACAGCAGGAGCGCTGGCGTTAGAGGTGATTTGTGGTGATTCGTTCAGCCCTGTGGCAGTGCGCTCTCCTCCCTGGACTGCTCCCAGTGTGGGGTCCTGTCCCTCGAGCCCAACCTTGGCACCAGCCTCCCTGTGGTCACGCTCACCCTGAGTCACCTCAGCCTGCGGTAGCTTTCTCCTCAGTCCTGGTGTTGCTGCCTGGATCGGCTCGGAACAGATTTCTTCCCTCTGCAGAGTGTCTTTGGAAGCCCAGCCCCTTCAAGGCCCCAAACCTGGCTAATGACAGAGTCTCCTGGAGAGCCGCGGGTACCTGCAGATTCCCGGGTCTCAGCCATGCCTACTAGTCAGCGTCTCTGGAGGGGGCACCTGGGAGTTTGGGTCTCGTTTCCCTGGTGGCACTAGCAGCAGATTCGGGGACCTCTGACTCATTGCAGTCTTACCTGTGCAGGGTTTCCTTCTCCACCCCTTCTTTCCCCCTTCCTGCCTTCCCTCCCTCCCTCCCTTCCTTCCTTCCTTCCTTCCTTCCTTCCTTCCTTCCTTCCTTCCTTCCTTCCTTCCTTCCTCCTTTCTCTTTCCTTCTCTCTTCCTATATCTATTGTTTCTCCTTATTTCCACCCTTCTCGTTTCTCTGGCTCCTTCCCTGAGTCCAAACATAAGTTCGAGTATCATCCAGTGTAAAAATAAATACACAAGAAAAAAACCAAAATGTTATGTTCTACATAGCCACAAAATACCTTTAGCTCACCTAACAAAGCTATCATTCCCTGATTTAAAAAAAATATTTTGTCCCAATTCAAATTTTCCTGATAGTCCCCATATTGTCTTTTATTGCTCACTTTCCCATCAGGATTCGATAAGCATCATGCATTTACTTTGTTTTCTGTGTCTCCTACATCTCTCAGTCCCAGCCACTCTCCTGACCTCCTTAGTTTCTCATGACATTGACCTTCTGAAGTGACCAGGTCAGTTGCTTTGTAAGGGGGCCCACATTCCAGGTTTGTCGGTTGCTTCCTTGCGGTGTCATTTGTTTTGTCTCCTGTCTCCTGTACTTCCTGAGAATTGGAGTTAGCTCTGACGGCTTGGTTGGATCCCGTTCAAGACTTTTGCCACATTACTTCGCAGGGACACTGGGTATGACGCTGAGCATCGCAACAAGAGCCCCGGTGTCTGGCGTCGCACTTTCACGGATGCTAAGTGCAATCCCGGGTTAGCAGGGTGACTTGGGGTCGCTCTGCTGGAAAAGCACATTTTTGTCCTTGCAGCTAGGAATCCGTGCAGCTGTGCAAGTAACCATCCCCAGCTCGCCCGCAGCTGATGTTTGATCTGTGGTGGCGTCTCTCCCCATGGACTGCACCTCCTTCACACTCCCTTCACTTCCGGTCCCTGTCTCACTGGCTCTTCCCACCTGGCTCGTTTTTCTTTGTTTCTGTGGCTGGCTGGATAACGGTCCCTCAGGGTGTGCATGTTCTAATCCCTGGAATCTGTAAATATTACCTTATACGATAAGAGGGACTTTGTAGATGTGATCCAGTTAAGGATCCTAAAATGGGGAGATTATCCTGGATTATCCAGGTGGGCCCAACCTAGTGGCAAAGATCTTTGTAAGAGGGAGGCCAGAGGATCGGGGGCAGGCAGGTGACGTGGTGATGGGATCAGAAGGATGGAGAGAAAGAGTTGAAGGTGCTGGTCTGCTGCCCTGGAAGGTGGACGAGGGGACCATGAGCCCAGGGATGTTGGTGCTGCTGGAAGCTAGAAAAGTTAAGAAAACCAGTGCTCCCCTCAATCCTTCAGAAGGAGCACCCTGCAGGCCCACTTAGGACTTCTGATCTCAGAACTGTAAGATGACAAATTTGTGTTGCTTTCAGCCACAAAACTGTGGTCATTCACTGCAGCAGCAACAGGAAACCAAAACAGTTTCTTTCCATGGTTCTCTTCCTCTATGTGCCCCTGAAGTGTCTGTGGTCCCCAAGGTTGGTTCCATCCTCTTCTCACGCATATATGCCACCCACGGACAGTCTCATCCTCTCTTGTGTTTTAAACTGTCATCCAAAAAATGGAAATGCTACCATGTCCAACACTGGTGCAGAGATCAGCCCTGCTGGGGACCAGTGGGTCTCCTAGAATTGCTCAGGGAAGCGAAAGTACTGCTTCCTTCCTCCTTGTGTAGGTAAACACAGCAAAGAGGCCTGCAGTCCTGGGTAGGGAGAGTCGGCCTTCTCCCTCTGCCCGGCATTTGAAACCTCGGTTCTGTTGTTGACAGTGGGGAGCTGCAAGGCCCGGAAGGCCTGTCTGTGGGAGGAAGAGCTGACTTCTGCCTGGGGAGGCTCAGCAGCGCCAAAGCGAGATTGGCCAGCTCAGCCTCCGCTTTCCAGATGGGGGAGCGTGTGGGGAGCTGGCTTTGCAGTGTCAGTATCTGGACCTTCCCTCTCTGTTGACCCAGGCCCTTGGCACCTCTCACTTTTCACACAGTTGTGGCTCCTTCCCGTCTGTACCGCAGCGCTGCCCACCTGCTCCAGCAAGCTGGGCACCCTTTGGGGCCTATGAAGGGCCGCAACTTTGATCTTGAAAGGTTGGACCTAGCAGTACCCACGGCCTTTGAAGTGTCACGTGTTCAGGATTTTGAGTTCGTTGCTATGGAGACCTTTCACATCATTGTAATATCTTTTTTATTTCTTAAGAAACCAACTTTATTATTTCACAATCTCATCATTTAGGCAGGTAACCTTTTATAAAAGCCACTTGTAAGGTATGAACAGCAATGGTAGGGGTGAAACAGACAGACAGTTCTGGCTTGTCAAAAAATAGTGACCAGTGCACAGGTAAGTGGGCCCAGTGAAAACTCATGGAGTGTTGACCATAAGCCAAAAATGCCCTGGCTTGGTAGTGGGCAAGGGGGGTGGGGGGCGGCTGGAGGGGGAGGCCACAGCTGTTAACTGTGAGGGGCTGGTCACACCAAGTCTATGAGGCAGCCGCTACTCTCGAGAGCCCCATTGTACAGATGAGAGACTGAGGTTTAGGGAGCCTGGGTCACTTGCCCCAGGCCGGCCTCCTAATAAGTGGAGGCACTGGGATTCAGAAGTACGATTGAGCCCCAGACCCTCCTTGTGGCCCTGACGCTGTGCTGTCTGCTCTGGGGGAGTGAAGCGCTGCAGCACCTTCGAGTCTCCGCCCCAGCTCAGCACGCTTCCCCCAGGACTTCCTTCCCCAGCAGGGGTGGTTCCTTGACCAGAGCCCCCACAAAGCACCCCAGTCTCACCCTCTGAGCCATGCTGTTTGGCCCCCTCCTGGCAGGAACAGCTTTGGGTGGGCTCTTTAGGAGCATTCCCCATGGGACGCTGCAGGCCAAGGTCATCGGGGCTGGTGCGTCTGTCCTGTCCTTCCTGCAGGCTCGGAGAAGGGAAGCTCCTCCTATCAGGCCATCAAACCCAGGGTTTCTAAGGATGCTCGGAGACCCTCGTACCAAAAAGGTGCCTATTTCATCAGCTCACATGGTGCCACCCATACTATAATAAACAGGGCATGCACCCTCTGTGCGGCAGTAAGTGCAGTCTCATTACCAGGCTTCGTGGAGAGCGAGAGTCCTGGTGGGCATGGAAATGCACTGGCTGACAGCCTGAACCTCCCAGCCAGCACTGGGCCCCAGAGATGGAGCCAGGGCGGGGCCATCCTTTCAGCCCTTGGTTCAAGCCCACGGCCCTTCAGTTCAAAGGAGGTGGTCATGTCTCTGGCCTTGACTGATCGCTACTACCAAGGACAAGCTTCCCTATGTTTCCACAGCAACCTGCTCAAGCTTTGTCCTTCTCAGCTGCCTCAGGACATTTCCATGTCTACTGGTTGAGGTTTCACTTAAAGGGACAAAGGACCCCCCATGCCTGTTTTCTACCCTTTGTGGCTGTCAGCGATTTCTCCAATTTTAAAAATGGATTGGAATCTCAGTTCTACCCTTACAGCTGGTGGGGGGTGGGGGTCAAGGAGGGTTGGTCGTAGCGGCCTGGACAGCACAGACTACGGCCCAGGCCACGCCACCAGGCCGCGCCAGCCGACCAGCCACAGTCGTGCTTGTGGCTCCACCACACTTTGAGGAAAGTCAAAGCTGAAGGTGAAAGGGGACTTGAGGGCACACAGCACAGAGGTAGGGATGGAATCGGAGCAGCGTCAGGGTGCGGAGAGGAGCTGGAGAAGAGAGGAGGCCAAGTTGCCTTGCACTGACCCTGTGCTCTCTCTCAAGCATGGGTGTCGGACCGTGGGACCGGCCACCAGCATTTCCCGGGACTTTGTTAAGAGGCAAATGCCTGGCCCTTGTCCCAGACGGGCCCAGCGTGTCCGGCTGGTGGCAGGAACGTGAGCGTTTCCGTAGTGTCTGGAGAGCAGCAGCCTCACTCCGCCAACCCCCTTCGTAAGACCCATCGAAGGTCACCCCCGGCTGCTTCTCCATCCTCTGCTTATTGTTCCCTGACAATATCCACCATCCCTCACCATTCACTCCGCAGTCCTGAGTCACTTGGCCTGAGGCACCAGAGGAAGCAGCCAGCAGGCCCAAAAGCCAGGAGAGGGTTTTAGGGCCGAGCTCTGGCCTCGGAAGCCTGAGGTGGAGGCTGCAGCAGGGTGGCCCGGGGCTACCCCAGCAGGGCCCTGAGCAGGTTACTAAGTGTTCGTGGTCTTGGTCTCTTTGTAAGATGAGAGTAGTAATAATAGCCCTCTGGCTTAGAGTCATTTTAGGAAACAAAAGAGATGATGTATGTAAAATGCTTAAGGCAGCACCTACTATATAGAGGCTTCTGAACTTTCATTGCCATTAGCCCATAAACCCCCAAACCAGTGAATGTGAACTTGGGTCATTCATTCCCCTGACATGCATTGAGTCCATGCTGTCACTAACTGTCAGGGGCAAAGTCTTGGTTGGACAGCTTCTCCCTCTATCGGTGGCCTCTTTTTTTTTCCAGTCTTATTTTAAACGAGTCTCAAATGTGCACAATTTTGCATCCACACAAGTAGTCAGTCTTATTTTAAGCTGCCTCGTCATATGTGGAAGAAATATAGTGCAAGTGAAAAAAATCAGAACTTTGAATGAAGAGTGGGCTGCTCGGTTTATAAATGGGAAAACCAGAATGTAGGAGAACTTGCAGGTCCCACTCGAAGGCCACCGCACTGGTCAGCGTGGACCTGCAGTCAGAACCCCCTGCAGCTGCACGTTCCGTCTGTGTGGGCAGACAGCCGGCCCGAGCCAGGTTCTGCCGTGGGGAGTGCAGCCTGGGAATATCCTGTTCATGATCAAGGGCAGCAATGCACCCCAATTTAGCTTCAGATAAACTTAGCTTCAGCCTTGATATCAGCTTAAGTCTGTGTTCTAGCCTTTTGGGCCTTATGAAGATCACAGAGCCAAGTGCTGTCATGTCTAGAACTACTCCTGAATCTAATCAGTGATCTTGTTATAGTGTGGATTCCACCAGACCTCTCCTGCATAACCACATCCACGGTACCAGCCCCGTCATTGGGGTTCATTGCTAGTATCAGAACATTTGCTTGCAAATGTATGTTAGCCTTGTGGATGTGTCTCAGAAGGAAAGATCAGCTGATCAGCTTTGCATGTTGAGATTGTTATCAGTCAGCAGAAAAGAAATGTATATGTATTATTGCATGAAAAAAAACTACAATAAGTAATCATGCTTCTGGAAATTTCTCATTTCGTCCAGAAAAAAAACTCATGAACCACTTTTAAGTAGTTGAATGGGAAAATAGTTGGACAATTAACACTGAATGTTGTGAGGGCGCTCTGACTGCGTCACTTTATAGCAGGCGTGATACTGTGGTATGTAACCAGAAATGTGTGCTTGGTCTTAGTCCCTGTTTCTGGTGCAGAGCCCCTAAAACCCTCGAAACCCCCTCAGTGACGAGCACCCTGAAGGTGAAACAAGTGTCTTGTTACTCGTAATGATCCCATTTCTACCCCAACGGGGTTTGTTTCAATGAGGTGACTTTTGGAGGAGACCCACCCCCAGGACTAGAGGGTTGGAAATTTCAGTCCCTCCACCCCACCCAGTCACACCCTGCAGGGAGAGGAGGAGAGGGGCTGAAGAATGAGCTCACTCGCCAGTAGCCAAGGATTTAATCAGTTGTGCCTGTGCGATGAGGCCTCTGTGGACAGGTGGAAGGTTGGGGTGCAGAGAACCTCTGAGTTGGTGACCGGGCGGAATGTGAAGAGTGAGCGCTCTTGGAGGGGGCATGGAAGCGCTGCACCCACTCCCACGTGGCTCTTCTCCGAGTCTCTGCCATCTGGCTGGTCCTGCGTCATATAAGCCGTTCTGTAACCAGCTGGTCATGCAGTAACTAACATGCTTCTCTGAGTACTGGGAGCCACTCCAGTAAATAACTCAAACCCAAGGAGGGGTCGTGGGAACCTCCCACTCACAGCTGGTCAGTCAGAAGCACAGGTGACAGCCCGGACTTGTCACAGGAGTCCGAAGCGGAGCAGTCTTATGAGATCGAACCCTTAACCGTGGATCCGATGCGATCGCTGGTGAATAACGTCAGCACAGAGTTGAATTCTGAGGCACCAGCTGGAGTCTGGAGCAAATTGCTACTAGAACGATCTCAATCGGACATCCTTTTTGAACCCATAAAAATGTCTGTAGCAATTGAATAATGTGAGTCCGAATAATGGAGGATACATTTCAAATCTGGTCTTTTTATTGTTTGCACTAGAAGTTAATAACAAATGAAATAACCTATAAGAATTATATTTGTGTTTGAGTAATTTGACTCTGCGGGACTTGGTGGAAACTAAGTCCCTGCTGAGACCTGTGACGTGTATGGTGACGCAGAAGGCCCTCGCTGCTGGGAGTGCCGAGCAAGACTTGCTGAAACGAAGAGGCAAACTTAAAAATTTGCCCCAGTTTTGAACCATCAAATGTGACTACACTTTTTAATCAAATTTCTGAGTTGTCCTTGCTTCCCAAAATGCATTCCAGGGTCGCGCCCCACGCTCTGATGAGGGAGGGCTTTTGCTCTGGTTGGGTGTCATTCCCCCCAGGCCCCCTGTCTGTCCTTGGTGCAGCCCTGGACGTGATGGGAAGCCAAAGTTTCACAGGGCCCGCTTCACTGTCTCCCTCTGCTCTTCCATCCAGCAGGGAAGGGCGAGAAGGGCCGCGGGGCCCTGTCTCGTTGTGTAGACGGGAACTCTAGGATTTGGAACCAGTGCCCTCTGGGAGGCGGGCCACCGCTGGGTCCTGGGACGTGGGGCTGCCCGGACATGCTGCTCCCCCGGCTGTGACATGGCCGGGGAGCCCTGGAGGTGCCAAGTCCGGGATCTCAAAGGTGAGGAGCACAGCAGGTCGCCTCTCACCTGCCTTTCCCTCCCTCTCCTGCTGGGCAGTTCGTGAAGTTCGCCAACATTGAGGAGGACACTCCGTCCTATCACCGCAGCTATGACTTCTTCGTGTCCCGCTTCAGCGAGATGTGCCACTCCAGCCACGACGACTCGGAAATCAAGACCAAGTGAGTGGCGGGAGGCCCGGCCTGGGCCCCCAGGTCCCCTGGTCCCTGACGCCCTCCCCTGAGCATCCCCATTCACCTCCCGCATCCTGCTCCGCCCCTCCCCCGCCCACAGCCTGCGTCCTCTTCAAACATGCTTCATAACTTACTCACTGTGTTTCGTGTCTGCTGTCTGCCCCCCCATCACCTACAATGTGAGCTCTGTGAGGGCAGGAACCGTGGTTTTGTTCTCTGATGTCTCCCGAGGGTTAGAGCAGTGGCCGGGGAGCAGCAGGGACTCAGTCGAAACTTGCTCAGTGCGTGAATGAATGAATGGATGGGTGTTTTCAGATACATATCTTGAGTTACAGAATACATTTACATGTGCATACTCAAGCACGAAAAAAAATCCTTAAGTCACAATAATACACTGATCCACACAGAAATAAAACCCTGAAGTAAAATCAAAGAACGACACGTGCTGACAGACAGGTAGCGTGGGCCCGGCGGCGTCGGACTGATGAAACACAGGTGTGATGTGGCAAGCACTGTCCTTGGAACTACAGGGTCCAGGAGGGGTAGAAGTGGGTCGCTGCTGTGCGAACTAGAGACTGTGTTTGAAAGGGGAAGGAGGGAGGGACAGGGGCTGGGCTGTGCTTTCACCAAAGCTGCGGGGGTAGCCGGAGAAGAAAGGGGGGGGGTGCGCAGCGGCCGCATGGCCAGTGTGCGCGCAGTAGGACCGCTTCTCCAGTGGCTTGTCCCAAACGCACATGATGCCTCAGCACTTCAGAGGGGCCCCGAGTTCTGTGCAACAACAGCAGGGTTGGGGAGCCCCATGCACCCCTAACAACAGCCTGCTTGCCACAGCTGACGGTCCGGATTGGAGTAACAGAGTGAATCCCTCCATCCCCTGGGTTGCTGGTTCTCAAAGCTTCCAAACCTGTGGCCTCGGAGTGACTACGGGGCCGGTCCCCAGTCTCCATTCTCCTGAACCAGTTGTGCGCCCCCTGGGCTGTGCTACCTCGGTGCACACGAGGAGGCCAGTGGGGGCCATGGGAGAAAGGAGTTCCTTGTCTCCTCTCCAGTGTTGGCCCCTGCAGTAGCCACCTCACTCGAAGTGGCTGTGAAGGGGCAGAGGGGCCCGCAGCAGGTGGGGCCTGCCCAGAAGCAGGTGTGGGGGAAGGTGCAGGGCGGTACCCAGGTGATGCTGTAACAAGTGGCGGCCTCTCAGACGATGCCAAGCTTTCAGGAGTGGGGGTGGAGGGGACACTTCTCCTGCCACCCCCCCACACATACACACTCATGCAGTCACACACTCACACACAATCATTCACATGGTCACACACACTTGTGCATCGTGCATGTACTCACACTCCTCACATACACACACAGTCCATAGTGGTAGGTGCAGAAGCAGCCACAGCCAGCACCGCATTCTGACAGTGTTGGGAGCGTGCGGCACATTGGGGGAAGCGTTGCTCAGGTTTGCTCCCGGCAACTGGGCTGTGCTCTTTGCACCCACAGCCTGGCACTTGCCGTCCATGCAAGCGGGGAAGGCCTGTGGGGGGCTGCGGTCCTGGCATGACCCCCTCCCTACCTCTCGTTGTCTTTGTCTTACAATCTCCTGCAGCCTCTTTCCCCAGAGGCCCGCCTTTCATTCACAGCCTTTGCAGAGCCCAGAGTCCCTTTCCAAGAACCACCCTTGGGTCCCTTAAATAGGTGTGTGTGTGTGTGTGTGTGTGTGTGTGTGTGTGTCTGTGTGCCATTGTCCCCTGGGGCTCAGAGACATTGGGCCACTTGCACTGAGCCCCGACAAGGAGAAGTGAGGGGCTTCCTGTCCCCCAGGTCTGGTCTTTAGGAATCGACTCCGAAAGGGTGAGCCAGCTCTGGGTGTCGTGGAGTGAACTGCGTACACGTGTGGAAGGAACTCTGGGGGGGGCTGAAGGCAAGAAGAAAACTTAACTCACAGCCACGATGAGGAAGCCCCGGGAAGACCATGTTCCACCCACTGGGCCTGCTTTCTTGCCAGCCAGGCTACCTGGGGTGGCACAGGAGTCGGCGGGTTTGGGATCTATTCTGTAGTACGTCAGGTAGCACCGCTGACCCAGAGCCCAGGACGGTTAGTGGAGTACTGTTCAGTTACTTCCTTCCCCGGCCTGGGCAGCCTCTGGCTCAGGGTCTTGACTAGAGGGTCAGCATCAGAGCGGCTGAGGGTTCCCTGGGGAGTCCTTGTTCACTGTCAGCAGCCCGGACCCGTCCTGGGCCAAGGTCCCCGTTGCTGTCAGGCCCTCTCACCACCCAGGCACGGCCACTAGGTAAGGACCGGGGAGCACCCTTCTAACCGCACTTCAAACTGAAGTTGAAGATGCAGACGGCAACTGCATATTTAGGAAAACTGCTCAGCTCCACTAATCATCAAACAGATCCAAGCTGAAGTAGCTGCAAGATGAGAGGAATTTTCTGAGCCATAAAATTAGAGCAGATGCCGAAATGAGATCCCAGAGCCGACTCACAGCAGCGAGGCTGGCACGGGCCCACTGCGCACGCGCCGGCGCTGGGAGAGGAATTTGGCAGCGCCAAGAGGCCTCCGTTCCTCAGCTTCGACTCAGTGATTCCACTCGTGGCAATGATCTGAAATGTCGTAAAGCCTTTTATTCAGTGAGGTTCCTCGCAGTGCTGTTACAGCAACAAATGTAGAAACAACTTACATGACCAATAGGGGACCCGTTCAGAAAGTTCTTACGACACTACTTCACGCCTGCTGTGAAGAGTTAATGATACAGAAAAATGTGTACGATAAAATGTTATGGGGGAAAATACATATTGTATATGTCGTAGCTTCTCAATCCTGTTGTACATTACGTGTAGAGGGAAGGAAAGACACCGAAGGCCAGTAATGGTTATCGCTGAGTCGTTACGGTCGCGGTAAATCTTCTTTACATTTTTCTATAATTTGCTTGTGTTACTTTATAATTAGAAAAAGCAGTTTGATTTTCTTTTAAAAAAAGGAACTTAAAGCTGAAATAAAAGGCCAGTAAAGAGGGACCCCTCTGCAGAGCCGCGCTGACCCTCAGCAAGCACAGTGGGGACCAGGGGTGTGTGTGAAAGGGCCTCCGCTGTGCTGTGACTCAGTTTCCCCTATGGTTTCTCAGCCAGCTTGGCCCCAGTCTAAACCCTTTCGTGCCAGGAGAGCCTGGGAGCCCTGTGCCTCCCACTCCAGCCCCCACCCGAGTATGTCTCGCTCACCCTGGATCGGCCTCATTGCTGTGAGCTCCTGTGTCTTGGGCTCCAGCTGGAACAAACCCAGTTGAGCACTAAAGAGGGGGAACCTTAGGGGTGAAGCCTGGGTGGTACCCGGGCAAAGGCAGCCAGAAAACATGGTCTCCCGGGCTTGTGCCCACCAGCACAGGAAGCCGGCCAGGCAGAAGCCCGAGCTGCAGGAAGAGTGGAAGGTGGGCCCCACTCTGCCTTCGACGGGTGGATGCATCCCTCACCCCCGCACTTGCCACAGAAGCCAGACCTCCTGGAGTAGGAGGGCTTCCCGGCCTCACCTCACCCTCTCCTCGCAGAATCCGAATGTCGGGCATCAAAGGGCTGCAAGGGGTGGTGAGGAAGACAGTGAACGACGAACTGCAGGCCAACATCTGGGACCCTCAGCACATGGACAAGATCGTCCCGTCGCTGCTCTTCAACCTGCAGCACGTGGAGGAGGCGGAGAGGTAGGCCGGCCAGGGCGGGATCTGGGCCACAGTCGCACAGCCCCGCAAACTGCCTGCTAGCACCTAGCTGTGAGGCCAAGGGTCTTGGCTTCGGGGGGCTAGTCTGCAAAGACTCCAGGGTCGGCTTTCTGCCCACCTGCTGTACCCGTTAAGGTCTGAGTGCATGAAGGAAGGACCGCAATGGTGTGGCTCCGCGGGGGTGAGTGTGCTGGTGAGAGCAAAGAACCATGTCCCGAGGTGACCACTGTCTCTCTGGAAGCAGCAGGCCAAGGCGGTTTTAAAATGCCTTGCATGGATGGCTCCAGTGACTGAGGACTATGCTTCCCTGACCTCCCCTCCCTCCTCGTTTCCTAAAACGTGCCCTCCAGCAGCCCTGCAACACAAATTGCAGGCATTGGGTTTTAATTCGGAAGCCCCCAGACCGGGAATGCAACCTGTCCCCACCCCCTGTTCTTCCCCTCTGTGAAATGGGACGGAGGGAAGTGTTCACCACCCCTTGCATCTTGGCTGGATTAGGTCCCTCACTTTCTGCTACGGAGGCAGGGAGAGTACGTGTGTCCTCTGGTGGCTGTTTCTGGAATTGCACCTCACTGACAAGATTGCCCTGTGGTCTCAGGGCCCTGAGTCTTAGGGATCCTTCTGACCAGATCTGAGCCCACCTCCTGTGACTCAGGTACCACCAAGTCACACCTGGGCCAACCGCTGTGCCTCTTTCCTTTCCCATTTCCCTCTCCCTTCTCCTGTCTCCCACTTTATTTTGCTTTCTGCTATCCTGCACCTCTCTTTTCTCACCACATCTCTTTTTGTCCTTCCAAAGTCCCCCCGGAGCCTGGAGACACTCGTGACCAGTGACTCACTGGGCGTGTGGTGCTCAGGGGGTCTGTCTTCCTGAAAGAGGGACATCAGGCCCATCCTTCAGGATTTCCAAGAAAACTTTATCCCTTTGCCCACCATCTTCCTCCACTCTGGGCCTCTGTACCCCGTTTAACTTCTGACGGGCGCACCGTTGCCCCTGTGACCTGCATCAGACCCCTGCTCGTCCTGCGGTCACCGTTTGCACGCCTGCAGCATGGAGACCCAGGCTGCAGCATGGAGACCCAGGTGCGCACAAAGCCTGCTCCCCACCTCGCTTTGCACCCCTCACCCCCGGGGCTGTGTGTCCCCACAGCCGCTCGCCCTCACCCCTCCAAGCCCCTGAGAAGGAAAAGGAGAACCCAGCGGAGCTGGCTGAGAGGTGCCTTCGGGAACTGCTGGGCCGGGCCGCCTTCGGCAACATCAAGAACGCCATCAAACCTGTTCTCATGTGAGTCCCTCCCCACCCCTCCCCCAAGGGAATGGTTTCCATCTGGCATCCACCTGCTGACTGGTGGGGAGGGAAGGAGGTGTTCCTGTTGTGGTGCTGTGTCCTTCTCTGTGCCTGTGTCCCCTGCACTGGGACAACAAAATCCACCACACAGTGGCCAAGTGCAGTTTGAGGCAGAGGAGTTGGTAGGAGGGCCCCCAAAGCTGAAGGAAGGAACCTGGTTCACTCCTAAATCCACAGCTGCAGCGCCTGCTCCTTGACCTCCTTCCAGCTCTGAGGCTGGGACTGGCCTGGGACTGGCCTCCCGCTCCCTTGCTCCCACTTACCTGGAGCTGTGTGAGCGCCAGGTCCCCTCTGCCCCCAGGCTCTCTCTCCTTCCTCACATCACTGCGTTTCACAGCCATTCCCCCATATTGTCTCCCTCACAGCCATCTGGACAACCACTCTCTGTGGGAACCCAAGGTGTTCGCCATCCGTTGCTTTAAAATCATCATGTATTCAATTCAGGTACGGCAGCTCCCCTGGTCCCACGTGTCCCCTGGCCAAGGGCACCTCTAGGAGCAGGGCAGGGCCCTTACAGACAAAGCCAGCTTTCTAAGGCCAGTTCAGTCTTATTTTCAACCCATCACAGACCAACAAAGTCCAGTTTTAAAGGATGCATAGAAAAATTAGACAAGAAGTCCGTGCAGAGTACAGCCCACTGACCGGGCTTGGCCACAGCGGCGGTGTTGAGTTGCTTACTCGGCACTCGCTCTCCGTGGCTGCGCTTAGCTCTGCGTACAAATAGGGCATCAGACCTCAGATTGTCACCAGACCACGGCCACACTTGGAGCAGCACTAGACTAAACCGTGCAGCCTCTCGTGGCCCTTAAATAAGACCTGGGAAAATGAAAAGGAAGGTGATATCTTCCAATTGATTTTTGCCCCCTTGGGGGTGGAAGAGCCCAGGAAAATGGTGGAGATCCAGGTCGTTGCTGGGATTGGCCTCTGTTCTTCGTTGGGCCAAGGGGGGAGGGGCTCAGGAAAAGGAATCGGGGCCGCCTCACTTTTGCCCAGCCCTGCCTGTGGGCCCTGTCCAGGGCTGCCCGGCCCGAGGCCACGTGGGGGTGGCTGTCTGGGGCCAGCACGTCTTCCTCCCCCCAGCCGCAGCACTCCCACCTGGTTATCCAGCAGCTCCTGAGCCACCTGGACGCCAACAGCCGCAGCGCGGCCACCGTGCGGGCGGGCATCGTGGAGGTCCTGTCGGAGGCCGCCGTCATCGCAGCCACCGGCTCCGTGGGTAAGGTGCCCGGGAAAGGAGTGGGGCTGGGAACCCTGCAAGGACAAGGAGCTGCCCCTGGTGGGAGGTGCCTCCCCTCCCGGAAGAGGGCAAGGCACCTGCGGGAGGTGTCAGAGCCGGCTTTCCCGGGTTGAAGAGGTCAGCGGGAAGGTGAGGGCAGAGAAAACCCCTGGCTGGAAGTGCAGGGCAGGGACGAATGAACAAGGGAAGAATGAACGAGGGGTGCCAGCCCTGAACTCTGGGTTTCCCGCCACGCTGCACTCAGGGCCCACGGTGCTGGAGATGTTCAACACTCTGCTGAGGCAGCTGCGGCTCAGCATCGACTACGCCCTGACCGGGAGCTACGACGGGGCCATCAGCCTGGGCACCAAGATCATCAAGGAGCACGAAGAGTGCATGTTCCAGGAGGCTGTCATCAAGACCATAGGTGCTGGCCCCGGGGTGGGGCGTGGCCTGGAAAGGGCCCCCATGAGGACTTCAGTCCAGGCCATTGTAAAGTTGTCCTCTGTTCATCGCTCACCAACATGGCGTGGGGTGGAGTCAGTCCCTGGTGTGCGCAGCTCCCAGACCCCCCAGGTCAGGCATGAGTGAGAGCCCAGACCACCTTCATGGGCTTCTCCGCCTGGACTGCAGATCACAGGCTCAGAGAGGCGAACCCTTCCGTTTGGCCTGCGTGTTGCCTCCAGGTTGGAGAGGTTGGAGGGCGGTGGGGAGTGAGGAGAACAAATGGGAGGGAAGAAGGAATGGAGGAAGCCGTGAGAAATGAGTACACGTGTGGGTGTGGAGGAAAACTATAAAGCCGCCTCACAGGTGAGGGTCATCACTTCCAGGGCCTTCCTGAGAAGTAGGCCGGGCAGACCTGATCCCTGGTCGGAGATGAAGCCACTGAGATCCACAGAGGTGTGACTCACCCAAGGGCACCCCACAGAGCAGCCAGTGACCGTGCCTGGGTGGGCACCTTGGGCTGCTGCCCGGGTCCCAGCGTCCAGGTTCTCCATCCCGGAGACCCACGCCTCAGTCTCAGGAGTAACACGCGGAGGAACTGGAGCCTGGACCAGTCCCTCGCGGAGGAACTGGAGCCTGGACCAGTCCCTCGGAGTCTTTTCTCCTCGGGGTGTCGATTGTCATCCCCCCGCCCACAAAGAAGCAGCCCACACTCCCCGCGGTAGCTGGCTCAGCTGAAAGCCTGACCCGGGAGACCTCGGCAGCTGTGGCCTCGCCTGAGCCAACCCTCTCCACTGTCCTCTCCGCAGGCTCCTTCGCCAGCACGTTGCCCACGTACCAGCGCTCGGAGGTGATCCTCTTCATCATGAGCAAGGTCCCGCTGCCCTCCCTGCACCACCCCGTGGAGGCGGGCAGGACCGGGTAAGTCTGCCAGGCCTGCCTCCCGCTCCCTCCTCTGCCGGCCGGCCTAGCTGCCCTTGCCCGCGTTTTCCACTCTCGCCTTCCTGGTTCTGCCCCCACTTTTCTCTTCCTCTGCTCCTGGGTCCCACAGCAATTATGTGGGCTCCCCTCCAGTCACTACCTCCCTCCTTGGGGGGACCCATTAATTCCCTGGCCTGCTTCCTGGCACTGTCCTGGGTAGCCCAACAAGATAAGCCTCGTGGAGATCTAATCATGAGGGAGAACTGTGCAGGCAAGTGTGGGGTGTCCGCCCGAATCACCATCCTGGTGAGCACATGTGTCTCTGGTCTGCAGGGAGAACCGGAACCGGCTGACCCAGATTATGCTGCTGAAATCCCTCCTTCAGGTGAGCCCCTCCTGTCCCTTCCCTGCTCTGCCCCTGCGAGAGCAAGCTCCTCCCAAGGCCTAGGGACGTTGCCAGTTTCTAACCTTCGCAAAGGCTCCTTATCAGCTACTGACAGCCTTGTCATCTCTGCTCCGGGACAGAATCTACTGGCTCCCACCCCTGGCCCCTCCAAGGACCTGCCCAGACCCTTCCCCGCTCTGTTTCTCTCAACTGTAAGCTTTCCCTTCACTGGGGTTTTATATCCCTCTTTTTACCGTGTTTGGCTGTGTATAATGTGCACCCGCCTTTTGGGGCGCATTCAGCACGGGATTATTATAGCTGCAGTACATAACCATCATACCCAGGTACAATGCGCACCCTCACTCTTCCCTCAAACATTTGGGCAAAAAGTGTACATAAATGTGCACTGTTTTATAAATGGGGAAATACGGGCACATCTTTGCAGCCGTCACTGGAGTCTAGATGCATTGTTCTCAGGTGTCATCCCTATGGCCACCTTGCTAAACCGCAGACTCTGAGCTGCCAGCCTGCATGGGGTCCTGACTCTGAGTCTGTGACGAGCTCCCCAGCTACTCACGCACAGCCTGGCATAGACTCTGGACAACCCCCATCCCGCCTCACCTATCCTAAATACAACCACAAGAACTTTCTAGAAATGCTGTTCCCCACATGTTGCTCCTTGTTAGAGAATAGGTCTCAGTTTCCGGTGACACAGCCAGATCTCAGGCAGGACACCTGGGAGACACCGCAGGCTCGGTTCCAGAGCCCACAGGAAAGTGGGTATTGCAGGAAAGCGAGTCGCACGAGTTTTTCAGATTCCTGGTGCATATGAAAGCTATGTTTACACTATGCATACCGCAGTCTGTTAAGTATGCAGTTGCATTATGTCTAAAACCCAACGTTCATACCTGATTTAAAAAACACTTTATTGCACCCTGATTGGTGTGACTCAGTGGGTTGGGCATCGACCCGCAAAGTCAAAGGTCACCAGTTTGATTCCCAGTGAGGGCGCATGCCTGGTTGTGAGTTCAGTCCCTATTTGGGGCACGTTCAAGAGGCAACTGACTGATGTTTCTCTCACACAAGGATGTTTCTCTCCCTCGCTTTCTTCTTCCCTTCCCCTCTCTCATTAATCAGTTAATTAATTACTTTATTGCTAAAAATGCTAATCATTACCCGAGCCTTCGGCAAGTTGTGATCTTTGTGCTGGTGGAGGGTCTTACCCTCCACCTGTAAAACAGTGAGGTGTCTGTGAAGTGCAGGGGGGAGCACAGTGGAATGAAGTGTGCCTGTCCTCTCAGACGGACGTCGGGAGGTCTCCAGTCCCCCTTCCCTCCCCAGGCCCCCATCACATCCTTCCGCCTTCTCTGTTCCAGCCCAGGCGCTCTGCGCAGCCCCCTCCTCCCTCCCACTCGTGTGTCTCCCCTCCCCTCTCCCAGCCCACGCCTTTTATGTCACTATTCTCATAAAGCTTTTCATGCCAATGCTGCCCACATCTGGTGGCCTCCTCCACCTGGGTACCCCTGCCAACTCTTTACTGAGTTTGCCCTCATTGATTTGTACTCGGCATCTTATTGAGGTGGTAGTTTGGGGCGCACTCTGATCCGTCCCCCTTCAGGGAACCCAGAGGTTTACTGTTGATGGCGCTGGGTTTTGCCCGGCCCTCCAGGGCCTGCTGAATCATCAAAGGCTTTGTTTTATAGTATGTGGGCTAAACAGTAAATATGTTTTGCTGCTTTTGACTGCTTTGACATCACAAAGGAAGTGTCTGTGCCAGCCAGCTTTACCCGGAGACCCCCCTGGGGGACACGCTAGGAGAGATGTAGTCAAATGCCGTGTGCGCTCTTGGCTGCTGCCGTGTGCCTGGGTTCTCATTCCTCAGCCCGGCTATAGGTTCTTCCATGGTCTCTCCATTTCTCTGGGACTATCCCCACTCTTAGCCAAGTATTGTATTTACAGTGAGTCTTTATCAGCTGTGCTCTGATGGCCCAGAATGTAAATTCAGAGGCTTCCCGGCTCCTGCTCCCCTCCAGCACTCATTCCCTGCTTGCTTTTAGCCATATAATGCTCCTGCGCACTCTCTCCATCCAACCACATGTCTACCGTGCTTAGCTGAGGTTGTCTAGGTAGACACTGGCATGTTCAGAAAAGCTACCTAAGGCATCCAGGGCCCAGGCCTGGGGTGGGTCTGGACTAGGGAGTCTGGACTGGGAGATGCCAGAGACGATGGCTGCTTCAGACCCAACCTCAGTGGGCTGCTGAGAGGGCCAGCATTCCGAGCACAGCCGTGCTGGGCTCCCTTGCAGGTGTCCACAGGTTTCCAGTGCAACAACATGATGTCAGCTCTGCCCAGCAACTTCCTGGACCGCCTCCTGTCCACCGCACTCATGGATGACGCAGAGATCCGTCTCTTCGTTCTAGAGATTCTCATCAGTTTCATTGATCGCCATGGAAACCGCCACAAGTTCTCGTCCATCAGGTGAACTTGAGGTTTCCTTCCCTGTTGATGTGTGTTGGGAGAAGACTCCCGACAGGGCCACACGTGCAGACAGGAGCACAATTCAGAGATTCAGTGAGGCCGACCGGAGAACCAGTCACAGACGTGGACCTGGGGTCCCATGAGGGGAGGTGCTTACCTGGGGGAGAAGCAGGTGGATGGGAGATTTGGGTGATAAAGACCACGTTCTAAAGGGAGTTTTCAGGTGAGGATGAAGAGAAGAATCTCAAACAACTTTTAAGAAAAAGGGACAGGAACTAGAGAACGTGGGAGAAAGTAGAGAGCGGGCTAGGAGCTAGGGCTGGAGGAGCACCAGTAGGCTTTGGGACAACTAATGACATCGGGACAAAGCCCGGTGACACCACATGAGCTCTGAGTGGCTTCACACTAAGGTAGCTTCTCTGTCCCCTTCCAGTACCCTGAGTGACATCTCTGTCCTGAAGCTGAAAGTGGACAAGTGCTCCCGACAGGACACTGTCTTCATGAAGAAGGTTAGTGAATGTGACCTCAAGATGCAGAGAGCCCTGGGCCAGCCAGTCCCCGTTGGCCCTGACCTGGTGCCCATGTCAGTGCTGACCTCTGCCCCAGAGCTGATCTCCTCCCACTTTGACTGCACATCAGCAGTATGACCAGCCGACCCACGTGGGTGTCAAGCCCCAGGGTCATATTCATCATCACCAAGGCCAAGTGAGGACCAGTGACTGTGTTCTGAACTATTTGGGCAGCAGTTTTTGCTGCTGGTTCGACTGGTCCCAGCTTCCCCTGGATGTGCACCCCTGCCCGTGTTCACACCCCCTGGCGTCGGCTTGAAAAACAGCCTCTCCCTGGGGGCAGAAGTGGGGTACACAGGCCTTCCCACGCCTGCTGATCGATTTTTCTGTCCTCCTCACCCCTGCTGCCCCACCCATGGCCTTGCTGCACCCGTCTTGCACCTCCAGCACTCCCAGCAGCTCTATAGGCACATCTACCTGAGCTGTAAGGAGGAGACGAACCTGCAGAAGCACTACGAGGCGCTCTACAGCTTGCTGGCACTCATCAGCACCGAGCTGGCCAACGAGGAGGTGGTGGTGGACCTCATCCGCCTGGTGCTGGCCGTCCAGGTCAGGACGTGCGGCTGGGGTCAGGGGAGAGGACCAATCAGAGTGCTGAGTAGCAACTGCTTAACGCGTGTTTGGGAGCCCAGGAAAATAGTGCCTTCAGTTGGCCATTCCTCCACAAAGACCACAAACCGTGAAGAATGCTTCAGTCATGGCTTTAGCCCATTCTCAGGCTAATGGAGACCCAGGGGAGAGGGTCATTCAAACATACCCCTCAGCCCCTAGTAGTTAAAGTCTCCTGCAGGGTCTGAATGGGACTCCAAGGGTTGCCAAGAGGGTGCTTGCAAGCCCCAGGTGACTCCAAAGCAAATCCCCCGGTTCCCAACCTGGCTGTGCTTCTGCATCACCTCAAGCACTTATTAAAAATACACATTCCTGGTTCTGCCCCCGGGCCTGGGGGCTGTAGATCCACGGGTCTCCCTGTGATTCATCAGCAGGACACTACATAGGGCTTTAGGCTTTCAGGGTCTGCCTGGGTGGAAGCCTGCTCTAGCCACTGGGGTACGTCCTTCAGACCTAGAAGGTAGGGGTCCCCCGGTCCTGAAGCTGGGCAGGCATCGTTTCCTGACTCGTGGCAAGCCCGGGAATTCAGTGGCGGTGAGTCGTAGGCCACCTGCCTGGCGGTGCCACCTGCCTGGCGGTGCTGAATCCTGCAAGGCCAGCCCAGACGCCAGGATTGTCTTCATTCCAGAACTTGAGATTTCTTGATATCCTATTCCCTGGTAACTCCCATGCCTTTCTCGGGTTAACATGTGAACCCAATTTAGCAAGCCCAGGTCTGAAGTGAAGGCCACAGCGTCCTGCAGGTGGGCTTGATGACGAGGGTTGGGACAGGCAACGTCACTGAAGCTGGAACTGCCACGTGGGGGTTGAGGCCGCCGTCCCCATGGATTTCTCCAGGGACCATTCGCTTCAGCTTTAATAAGGGTGGCCTCTGACTTCCAAGAGATGACAGAGCAGATGCTGAAAAAAGGCTTAGCCTAGAGCGGTGGGCCGTCTCCTTACGATGGGGGCGAGGGTAAATGGAGGCTGCAGCTCCTATACGACTGTCCGTTAGAAACTGCAGAGGCCCCTCTGTGTTGCCGCAGGACCTGGCCCAGGTCAACGAAGAGAACCTGCCTGTGTACAACCGCTGCGCCCTCTATGCGCTGGGCGCCGCCTACCTGAACCTCATCAGCCAGCTGACGACCGTGCCTGCCTTCTGCCAGCACATCCACGAGGTGGGCTGTGACGTCCTCTTCACGAGCGCTGCGTCTGTCTCCTTCCGGGTTTCTTTTCGGAAAAAAACGGACAGCTTCCCACGTGATCGCCCTGCTATTGACATACTTAACCCAGTGATCAGGAACGCCTTAGTGTGACCAATCCTCCGGCTATAGTCCAATGTTCTCATCTGTCACAAAAGGCGTTTTAGAACATACTGAAGTGTTTATAGGTGGAATGATATGATGTCTAATGGAAAATGCACTAGAAAATGAAACAAGAAACCTCCGGTCTCAGCTGGCCTGAGCGGGGGGTGTGGGGGGCGGTGCTGTGTTTGTGGGCCCCAGGCCACCCGAGCAGGGCAGGAGCTCCGCCCTCCGGGCTGCTGCGGGAGTGTGGGAAGGGCCAGGCCCAGACACCCTCTCAGTAAAAACAGCAGGTAGCAGCATCCCATACTCGCCTCCCCATATACTTGCCCGTCGACTGTCCTCCCACCTTTCACAATCTCAATAGCTTCCACCTTCCTTGTCAAAAATTTGCAAAGGATACTGAGCGAAACGCAGCAGGCCCCTGTCCATCAGGACGTGTGTGCACCTCACCGGGGCTCGGGAAATGGTGTGACCTCTGCTCCAGTTTTCGGGTTTACAGAGAAAATGGGAATGGGCCCAGAAGCAAGAAAGAGCAGTCCCTCGGAGCAGAGTCCCTTGCATTTGGAAGACACTTAATGCCCATGCGTCACTGGGAGTAGCTTGCACAGACTACCTGGGCATCTCAGGCTGCTCTGGGGGTCACTGTTGATCCGAGTTTCTCCCTCAGAAGCCCAGCTGTAGGGTGCTCTGCCTCCGGACTGTGGGAGTGGGGAACTCTGGGGTGCGGGCAGCAGGTGGGAGCTCTTTCCTTTGCTGTTCCCTGCTCCCTGTCCCCGCCAAACCCAGCTCTCACCTTGTGATTCCTCCCAAACTCCAGGTGATAGAGACCAGGAAGAAAGAGGCTCCATACATGCTCCCTGAGGACGTGTTTGTGGAGCGGCCCAGGTGAGGAGCGCACCTGGGGCGTGGTCCAGGGCACCCAAGGCAGCAGCTGAATAGGAGGGAGGTCAGTCTGAGGCAGGGGCTCAGGCTTCTGTGCGCTCCAAGGCCAAAAGTGGACCTTGCCTGTGGCCTGTAGGTCCTGGGTCAAGTTTGACCCTCATTAGGTAAGTGGAACACACACCCTGAGCCATCTTGACCATACAGGGTAGGCGAAGCCACCTCTGGGAGCTTTGGCCACGCCCACAGGAAACAATCCTGGAGCAGCTGTTCCAGATGAGACGCTGCCGCGAGGAAGCGCCGGTGGCACTGTCAGAATTGTCAGAGTCCCTGGGCCAGGCTCACTTCAGCATCAGAGGAAAAGCTATCCCGAAAAAATTACAATGTCCAGCAGCAGGGGCGGCTTTATTGATTACGGCCCACGTGACAGACCACTGGTGGCCGTTCACAGTGGCCTGGAAGAGCAGCTACTGTGAAATAGTCCCTGTAGAATGGGTCCACCAACTGGGTGCTGGGGCAGGAACGTGGGGGTGGGGCCATGTGCACACATCACAGACATGTGCACAGCTGCAGGATTCTGCGCCCTCAAGGTTATCTGGAAAGTGGGATTCCGGGTGATTTTTTTTCCATTTGCAGCTCTGTCATTTTGCACAATGAACATCCCCTTTGTAATAAGGAAAGTCGTTAGGAAATCACCCTAGTTACCCGTGGTTCTCACCTGCCCCTTCCCTCCTTCATCTCCAGGCTGTCTCAGAACCTGGATGGCGTGGTGATCGAGTTCCTCTTCCGCCAGAGCAAGATCAGTGAAGTCCTGGGGGGCAGTGGCTACAACGCGGACAGGCTCTGCCTGCCCTACAGCCCTCAGCTGACAGGTATGGGCTCTATTCAGGGACGTCCAAGCCTGCCTCTGGCTTTTCGTGGCCAGGCAAGGGCCTGAGTGTAAGGCGTGTCAGTCGCCTTCCAAGGCATCTTGGGTGTCACACGAGAGCGAAGACACAGTGAAGAACTGCGGCGAGACCCTCTGGATCCCCCCACTTCTCCTCCTCCGTGCAGGGTCCTGAGGAGCAACTGGCCCGCAAGATAGCCTGGCTGGTGGGTGGGAGAGGCCCCATGGTGCCACGCATGGGCTACAGAGACCCCGTTCTCTGTGACTGACTTCCTGGAAAATCTTAGACGAGGCTCATGGCACCTCTGAGTCCCGGTTTCCTCGCCTGTAAAACAGGGATATCAGCAGCAGTTGCCGGAGAGGGCTGGTGGGGAAGTCACGGGAAACAGGGATGGTAACCATGTGCGGACGCGCATGGTAACCGTGGAGAAACAACAGCCCCTGGCACTCGGTGCAGATGGTGCTGACATGAGTAGAGATGGGCTTTCTGGTCAGAAGCAGCTTCTTTGTGCCCATTGGTGGTTTCAGAGTCTTAGTCCTAAAGAGCAGAACTCCCCACTGAAAGCTGAGCAGGGAAGGCCACGGCCCTCTCTGGAGTCCACCGGTAGCCTGTATGTGTGCTGCGCCCTTGAAGGACAGTGTGCCAGGCGGAGACACAGGCTTGGGAGCCGGCATGGGGGCCTGACCAGGCCTGCCCTCTGAGGGCTGGGAACGTGAGCTTCTGGCTTCTCCTTCCCCAGATGAGGACCGCTTATCCAAGAGGAAGAGCATTGGAGAAACCATTTCCCTGCAGGTGGAGGTGGAATCCAGGAACAGCCCCGAGAAGGAGGAGGTGAGTGTCTCCTTCTCCATACACTGTCTGGGGAAGCCCTGCATCCGGGTGGGGGAACTGGCTCCCGCCCCCTGTGCAGGCAGACCCTCTGCACCTACACAGCACATTTAAGGTCACGCAAAACATCACTTTCCCAGGAAGTCCCGTTTCCTCACTGTCGTCATATACCTCGTAGACATTTCCGTCTGGAAAAGATACTTGTGTCCATCGTCCTCCCTGCTACACTCCGTGACGTACGAGTGTGTGCACACCTCGGTCGGGGGCTAAAACAGTGTTGCTGACCAGACGCCCCACCTCACCAAGGTCTCCTCTGCTATTGACATACTTAACCCAGTGATCAGGAACGCCTTAGTGTGACCAATCCTCCGGCTATAGTCCAATGTTCTCATCTGTCACAAAAGGCGTTTTAGAACATACTGAAGTGTTTATAGGTGGAATGCACTGCCCCCCACCCCCCACGCCCCACCACGGGAGCCACTAGCCTGACTAATGTCCCTCATCAGACTCGTCAATGAGGTCGTTCTCCCCCATGTCAGCGTCTCCCACTTGGGATCACGTGGGAGCGGCAGGACATGAGTGAGTCACGGGTCTCGCCTCCAGGAGGCCACAGTCCTCTGGGGCATTCCTGGGGTTCGGTCCAAGCTCCTGCCCTGTTTTCAGCATCTGACTTAAGGGCACACGTCCACCGAGCACCCTTGTTTGGGTTTTGTTACTTTCCACCGCCCTTCATGGCTCTCCAGACGACTGAGGTCCTGTGGCCCACGTCCTCCACCCGACCTCAGCATTTCTTACTTAATTTAATATTCAGATCCCATCATGGATAATTTAATATCCTAAGTCCTCAAAAATGGTACTCAGTTCTTGAAATCTACGTTGGAGATTATATTCGCAGATGCCGTAATAATCTCCTCTCACTTCCGACGTTTTTTGTTAGGTCTCTGAAGACGTTTTTGAATCACAGTGTCTTCCTCCCACCAGGGGAGGAAGCCAGGGGGAGGGAACAGAGTTCTTTTTGGTGAGGCTCTGAGGGAGAATTAGCTCCTCCACCCCCACCTCCCTGCTCTTGGGGAGCTCCCAGAGGAGACCTTGGTGAGAAGGTGGGTGTCCCAAGGCAGTGTCGGCCCACTGGGACATTCTGCTGCAAAGTGACAGGCTGCCAGCCGACTGCGGGAGCCAGGGCTGCCTCCTCCCTGCCTCACCTTTCTGAACACTTGTCCCCTCTCCCTCAGCGAGTGCCTGCCGAGGAGATCACCTATGAGACACTGAAAAAGGCCATTGGTGAGTGAGAGGCCCCCAGGGGTTCCAGGTGGGGGTAGGGCGGAGCTGGGTCCTGGTTGCCAATGGGCGTGAGCAGCCCCTTCTGCTGCCCACATAGGGCCCTTCAGCACAGACGTGAGGACAGAGGCTGGTGGCTTCCTCCTTCCAAACCCATCCCAGCAGCCAAAGCTGAAGTGAATAGCCCTGCCCGCCTGCTGGGCACCAGCAGGGCACCCTGCGTGTCTCAGGTCAGGTGGCCTTTTTTCTCCTGATGGCGGCCTTTAAAAGTGACGCACTGAGGGTCACAGCCATGCAGGTAACAAGCAATTTGCTTATAAATACTTTGACTAGTTTTTGATAGAATTTCATACAAAACAGCAAGTTGACCAATGAGGAATATTGAGAACAAATCATATTACTATTTATTTCATAATGGCAATAGATTTTGAAATATAGTATCATGCCTTCTGTCTGAAGGACTGGGCAGTGAAGTATTCCAAAAGAGAGAACTCTTTGGATGCTGGCGACAAATTCCGTCTTCAGATGCCAAACCTTTCTCACTTCTGTTATCAATGCCAGTACTCTTTCTAAATGTAACATGCCTTCTTAAGGAGAGAATGACAGACAGGTTTGAGGCCCCTCCCCTTTTTTCCTAACTCGCTTTGGATTCCAAGAGGAGTATGTAGAAGCCTAAACAGCCACACACCACCCTATCATAGGGGATTTGCATTGGCTTTTGTGGACTTTGTGGCTTTTCCATTGCTGATGCTCCTTTCCAAATCCCGCCCCCTCCCCCTAGAATACTTCCTGCTCCAGGGACTTCTGGTGACAAGTCCTGGTGGCAGTGTGGCTACCTGGGGCTTTCGAAGCCCAGCTGAAGGGCCAGCTCTGCTGGTTCTCAAACCCTCACACACGGAAGGAGGCTGAGCCCTCAGGCAGAATCAGGGAAAAGTCCGGCCCTCCAGGGGCCAAGGGACAGCACCCTGCCCTCCCTCCATGCCCACGGGCAGAGGGCAGAGCCAGGCTGCAGTCACAGACAGAGCTCCAGGGAGGGGTCCCCCCAGCGCTCTACCTTCTATAGCCCCTGCCCCCGTGGGGGCTGGGGGAGGACTGGAAGCCGACTGAACTCTGTGCTGCAGTGGACAGTGTGGCTGTTGAGGAGCAGGAGCGTGAGCGGCGGCGGCAGGTGGTGGAAAAGTTCCAGAAGGCGCCGTTCGAGGAGATAGCAGCCCACTGTGGGGCCAGGGTAAGCGGGGCCTAGCGAGGGTGCGTCCCTGGGGACCACAGGGACCCAGAGTTGGGCCCAGGGCGGGACTGGGCGTTCTAGAAGATCTTGGCACTTTTGCTGACCAGAAATTAGGGTTTCGATGCCGACAGTGTCCCAGCCCTACACTGTTTCCCCGTGAAACCAAAAGACGTGGCTACGAGTCACACGGGCCTTCAGACCTCACACTTTTCATACGAGGGAGGAGTCCTGGCCCCAGGAGCTCCAGTGCCCGACAGGCAGACCCTAACAGCTAGTATCGTAGTAGCGAGTACGCAAACAGGACTGACCTTACGCCGGGACATCTTGCATTTGTTCGCTTATTTCATTCTCATGGTGACCGTTCTGCAGGTTGGTTCCACGACCATGGTACCAGCTGTGACGGAGGAGCACAGATGTTTCTCGAAATTGAGTGTATGGGCCAGGGTTGGTTAGTCACGGTGCTCGTCTTCGTAACAATGGGTTACAATTACAAAGGTCCAAAATTTACAACTAACTCCTACGTTACTGTGCTTTTTCTTCTCCATAAAAATACATGTATCAGCCTTTTCTATTATGTATTTTCTAATATACATACTTAATATGCACTATAATAATTATATATATAAATATATGTAAGTATAAGGCAGATTTGGGGGCCTGCTACCCAACCCTCTCCAGAAGCTGGTGCCGCTCATCCCTGGCGCTCGGGTGGAGGCCCCGGTCACTGAACACATGCACAGCACACTCTGAGAGAGGACTGAGTGGAGCCGGGAGGGACCCGAGGGAGCATCTACCCTAACCCCCGATTTTGCACCGCTGCTTCTTTGGGTTCAGGAAACCTGGAAACAGCCCTGAGCCTCCTGACTCCAGGCCTGGCAGGCCTGGCTCTCTCACTTGGAAGAGCTAAGGGTCCTTCAAGAACTGCCCCCTCCCAGTCTCCATGTTGTCCCCAGCAGGCTGGCTGGGCGGCTCTGCCCAACCTGACCCCACAGCCAGGGGCCCAGACAATACCAGAGCGTTCCCTTCCTGAGGCTGCACTGCCCGGATCTGCAGTGCGAGCCCTGGACAGGCGGGCTGGGGACAGTCGGCGGAGGGGCGCCCGGCTCACCCTGCCTCTGTTTGTGTCTAGGCATCGCTGCTGCAGAGCAAACTCAATCAGATCTTTGAAATCACCATCCGGTAAGTGGCAGCCCTGGCCAGGGGCCCCCTCCCTCTGCCGTCCAGCTTGGGCTCCCCCTCCTGAGTCTTCCTCTCACACTGGTCTCCAGTCCTCCCTCTCTCCCGCCTCTGTCTCCAGGGCTGGAATCAGCCACCAACTCTCCCCAGAAAAGGAAATGGAGGCTAGGGAGGGACAAGAGACGGCTCGGTGAACAGGGAAAAGAGCCAGGGGTCCTTGTTTCCCAGGCAGAGACTTTACTTTCTAAAGCAACAGTGTCACTGCAGAGCCTGCTGTAGGTTCTAGAACAACTCGAAAGGCATGGGGCGGGACCCTGTCCTCAGCCCTTGCCCTCCATGTGTCCCTGCCCCAGGCCCCCGCCGAGCCCATCAGGAACCATCACTGCAGCCTACGGCCAGCCTCAGAACCACTCCATCCCCGTCTACGAGATGAAGTTTCCAGATCTGTGTGTGTACTGAAGTCCCAGCATGGAGCTCCTCGGCGGGGTGGGGTCTGAGGGAGCCGCTCCCCCTCACCACCACCCCTACTGCGTGCACAGCTCACTGGGATCTCAGAAGAGGTCACCTTGGCAAGGGCAGCCCCTTCCCAGCTAAGCAAGGTGGGGCCTCAGGCCTTCCCCATAGCCCCTTGTCTTCCCTGAGGGGACCTGCCCCTCTAGGGCCCATAAGCATCTCGCCTGTACCCTGCAGTCTCCACCTTTGTGCCACGGGGCCAATAACTGTGCAGTGTCTGAGGTCCCGAGAGCTCCCACATGTGCGACAAGTGAGAGGCTTTTGTGGTGTGGGGGTGGGAAGGGCACAGGTGCCCTCTCCCCGACCCCGGACAGGACTAAGTGGTCAGAGGAAGCCGTGGGCTGCAGTCCGGAGGGAGCCCTGCTGTGGCAGCTGGAGGGTGGGGTGACTGTGTCCCCAGAGCACCCCCTCCCTCCAGCCCCAAGGCCCTCAAGTCCCCAGTGTCTCTTCCACTCTCCTGTTCACCCTGCCAGCTGTCTTTTCGTGATTCTCTCTGTTATTAATTAATGTTGGGCCCTTAGAGCAGGAGCTGCGGTAGAGATATCACAGCCGTGGCGGGGCGGTGGGGGCGGGGCGGTAACAAAGGAGGGAATGAAGGTCAGGCGGCTGCTGGTGGGGCGGGCTCTCCCCAGGCCGGGCCTGCCTCACCCCCACCCCCACCCCCTCAGAGGGGCAGCAGGCAGCAGGGGGCAGACCCTGTGCAGTGTCTTCTCACCTCCTTTGCTCAGAGGGAGCTTGCTTGGCCCTCCCATGTTCTCCCCCTTCCGGATGTTTCTCTGAGTTGAGCTCTCTCTCTCCTTGTTACCTTTCTTGGTGGGGAGACTGCCGTGTTTCTACAGCCTCTGGGTTGAGGGAGGGCAGCGCCAGCTGATCTGGTTCTCATGACTCGAAAAGAGGAGGAACGGCCGGCGCCAGGCCTGCCTCTCCGTCCCCTGCGGAAGAGGCTCCTGGCCTGGCTGGGCTGCGGGGGGAGGGGACGATAGTGGCAGTGGAGCACTTTGGGGCTCAAGGATGTCAGAAGTCGGCCTTCTGGATGTTTCATGTGAGGAAAGAAGGATCCGGCACCCGATACTGGAATGATTTTTTAATTTTTATTCCTTTTACTCTTCGGACAAAGTCTGACCGCAGTGCCCACTGCCGAAGCTTCAGGCCTGGGGAGAGCGGTGGAGACCCCTTTGGGTTTCCCATTTCCCGAGTCCCATCGGCCTGTCTGTGTTAGGAGGAGGGGCCCGAGGCTGCCTGTTGTGCCCTCTGCTTCCCCTTTGCCCTCCTGGGGCATCCGTGTCTCTAACAGGACCCCACCTGGGCTCTCCCCGCTCCCTGCCCCCCAGCTCCCTGCCCCCCATTCCGCAGCGAGACAGCGCCCTATGGCCCCAAATAGTTCTTCTCTTCCAGTGAAACTCCATTCACAATAAGGTGTGAATAGCCAAGTTATTCTTCTGTGGAGAATTTGTTTTATAAAAAGAGGGAGGGCAAATTGATTGCTTGACCCAAAAGACTCTCTTTTAGGGTACAGTTTTAGGCGGCGTGGGTGGGGTCAGAAGGGCTGGGCTCTGCTGAGACTGGGTATACCTCGGCGAGGCTGCACGTGATGATCCGGGCAGATGGGTGGATTTTCACAAGTCGGGAAAAATTTAACATATGCCTTTCCCATTACTTGTGCAGTAATCTCTTGGGTAGGAGGCTTTCTGGCTCTTGTTCCCTGAGTTTGCCCCCTGGTCGCTGCCTCTGTGCTCTGGGCCTGCAGCTTCCGCATGGCTGTCGTGATTTAAGGACCCGGGGGCCCAGCTTCTGCTCCCCTCGTGGCTCTTAGCTAGTGCTCAACCCAACTTTATAACCAGGAACTGAGAATTCTCCTTACTTTAATATCTATTGAGAAATCACATTTCAAATAACTTGGAGCAGATTGGAAGGCAAATAACCTTGGGAAGGAACTTCACCGGAAATCGAAACCTTGAACCACCAACACATCTTTCTTTGCAAATCCCTCCACCTACATCCCCTGCTCGGCTTTGATGAGAAACCCTGTTTCTCTCTTGTGCCTCCTTGACTGTAAGGGCCACCCCCCTGGCCACTGCCCCTGAGCCCCGCCCTGGGAACCCTGGCTCTGCGACCCCTGGAGCCTCTTTCCAGAGCCAGCCGTAGGACCAGAGACCTGCAGGTCCACTCCGGCGCCTGTCCCTCATCCCCACCCTGGGAACGGGGTGCATTCTTCATACACTTGGCTTCTCTCTCCACGGTCCAAAGCAGCCTTTTCTTTTCATCACAGCTACCTAGCAAAGAAGTGTTTCTTTGGGAGAACTGGCCGTTTTCTTGTTTTTGTTTTCATTCTTCAATGCCCTCTTCCTAGTTTCAATTTAAATCTGCACTCAGTAGAATATTAGACTGCCTGCCCACAGGAGGCAGAACCTGGGTTCTGGCCAAGTGTGCCTCGGAGTGAGAAAGTTTAAGGTGCGTGTTAACTCAGACAGGCAGTTAAACAGTAAATTAAGCAGTCTCCCTCACCAGCATCCTCCCGCCCCTCCACAAGCCCTGGGAAGGGACGCAAAGCAGAGTGTGCTGGGTGCCCAGGCCCTCAGCCTGGCAGCCATTGCTGCTTCCTGCCTTCCAGGCCCCGTAGCGTCAGACAGCACTGTGTCTTTGACTGACCCTTTTTAAAAAAAAAAGATTTTATTTATGAATTTTTAGACAGGAAGGGAGAGAGACATCAATATGTGCTTGCCTCTCACACCCCCCAACTGGGGACCTGGCCTGCAACCCTGTGAAGATAGGCATGTGCCCTGACTGGGAATCAAACCGGTGACCCTTTAGTTCTCAGGCTGGTGCTCAATCCACAGAGCTACACCAGCCAGGGCTGATTGGCCCTTCTTGCTCCCCTCCTCTGTTGTGATCCTAAGCCAGCAAGCCCATCCAGACCAGCTGCTCCCCAAAGCCGTGATCACTCTTGCTTCCAAGGCAAGGGGTAGGCTGAGTGGGCACTCTGCTGGTGGAGCTTAAGAGGCACGAAAGCATTTGAGATCTGGAAGTTCTATTAATTCGGTTGAGTCACGCCCGTGCGTAAGAAGCAGGTCAGCAGGAAGCGCCAGCGTGCTCCTGCAGGCTCCTCTCATTTGCCTCGAGGTGGGGTCCCCAGTGCCCTGTGCCTGTTCCCATTTTCCTCTCTCTGAAAGTGGAAATAAGTGATTTCTTGACTCCTAGATGCCTCCTCTCCAGAGAAGGAGCCCAGGCGGGGCAGGAGAAGAGCTAGAAAAGGGCTCAGATACTCTCCTCTGTCCAGCCCTCCACTTCATACACCAGTGTGAATGGATGAGCAGTGGAAAGGCGGGGCTGGGACTGACTGAAGTGCTTGAAGAAGGTCGAGACTTGAGGGCCACATACATGCCGCCCTTTGCCCTGGATGTTCTGGGTCCCAGAGAACATGTTTCAGTTGGCTTAAGAATTAGAACAACCTTAGAGTCCCTTTAAATGGCTCCAAGGCCAGACCTCCAGGCTTCTTTGGAGGCTTCTCGGTCACTATACCTTCTGGTTACTCTTTCACTGTCTCCAGTCCCTCTGACCTGGGTAAAGACTGTCATTGAGAAGCAAGGCTGTCTCTCCCCATTCCTCTTCATGACCATGAACTGGCATCTGATCAGCTGAGGGCCGAGGAAAAGAACTAGACCAGAGCTGTTAAGCCTAGCGTGAAGTGTGAAGATAGACAAGGAGGTCAGCTGATCTGGGCAGGCCACGCCCCCTTCCCCTGACCCCTAGACCTGGCAGGCAGTTGTGCTGAAACAAAACATCTTCCTTAGCTCTGGGAGACAATGTAGGGCAGCGTGCTGCTTCTTCACCATGTTAACCTTAGAAATCTGGTTAAAGTGGCCCTTTGTCCCAAACATGGCCTCATCTGCCAAATGGAGAAGCGTGGTCATGGGCCTGGCCAGCTGGGAAGTGGGGAGAAGATACAGGGGCTGTGGCTGGGACTCCGTGACCTGCTGGGGTCAGAAGGCAGCTTTCTGTGCTCTTTCTGCACCAGCAGGATGACCAGCACTTTTCTCCAGGAGATCCTAGGGCCTCATCCTCTTCCCCTGTTAACTCCTCCGCGACTGTTGGTTCTGGCCTGTGGAGTGCAGAGAACTAACTCCACAGATGCTGCCACTCACACAGTGTAACACATCTGTGTCCGTCTGGACCTTCAGGGCCTGGCTGAGAGTGTGTGTGCCCGTGTGTGTGCATGTGTGTGCAATATAGTTCCTAGTTGATGATATATGTATATAATAGCTGACGTATTTATATGGGAGTGAAGAATTAGTGCCTGTGGCAGTTTTGTGTGTTTTACATTTGTTGAGTCAAATTAGTTTTAAGGAGAGGGAAAGAGAAGTGGGAGGGGCGGGCGAGTGTAGGAAGCATTCTTTAGGATTATTAGTCGTGATTTCCCAAGGAGCTGTTATGATGCCCTTTTCAAATAAATGTTAATGTTGTCACCACATGCTTGTCTATTTGATTTCTTTAAAGTAAATGGTTTTTTGAGATGCAAACAGGGTCTGAAAATACCAACATTAACCACTGACATTTAGCCACCCCCACCTGCCATTACTTTACTTGCCTCAAAAGGAAGAAGGTTGGGGGGACGATGCTGCCAGAAGTCACCGTGAGGCCCAGGATTCCCAGCATGGGGGCACCTTCCCAGGGAAGGTGGGGCCATTTATTTCCTCATTATGGTAGGGGAGACTTTATCTTAGGAATCTGGCATCTGACTCCTCTTACATCAGGGCATTTCTTTCATTGTGAACTCCTGTGGCACCAACATATGTAAGGGCTGTACACAGATGTTTCCCAGCCACTTTGATCATACTGCCCACTGGTATGTCTGATGCAGCTGACATGTATATGTACTTCTCTTTGTGTGTGTGTAAGTATCCATGAGTCTCCTATGAATCAGAAATGTGTGTGGCTGCATACCTATGGCCCCAGCATTGTTAAAACATATTGGGGACAGCTAAAAGAACCCTAGGCTGTGGCCTCTGCCCTAATGGTTTCCCTGAGGGGAGCACAGTACACACACAGCAGAACACTGCCAGCCGAGCCTGACTGCATGCCCCCCACTGAGGAGGAGCTGGCTGCAGGAACACCAAAAATGAGCGGGTGCAGCTGGAAGAGATCATGACTTTCCCAGTGGAAGTGGACTTGAGCCGGGGCTCATGTTGGAAAATAGGTAACGTTCAAAGTGATGGGGGAAGGTGGGGAGTTCCAGGCAGAGAGTGAAGGAGGATGGGAGAAGAGGGGGCATATCAGCAGATGGGGACATGAGAAGGGGGGCTCAGTAAGGGACGTGAACATCATTGACAAGGGCTCCCAGCACACCATGCCCTCTCGTTTGGATTGATGGAAAATTGGGGTGGGGTGACTTTTTTACCTCTTGAGCCAGGGACTGTGGGGAAAGCAAGATTTTGCATTCATGACCATGAAAGATTGGTATCGGATGGGCTGGGAGGAGAGCAACTGGAGACAAGGAGACCAGTCGGTGAGGAGGCTGGTACCACAGTGGAGGCCTGAGCCAGGAGCATGAGGATGAAAAGGGCTTAGGCTGGCAACATGGGGAGGGGAGCATGTGGGCAGAGCTGGGGGGAAATGGAGATCCCAAGGCTTGAGCCCACGGGGTTGGAAGTCTCCATGCACCTTGTGTTCTATTTGTACAGGCGTGTCTCCATGGGTGTGCATCTATGTGGGTGAGCCTGTATTTGAGAATGTCTGTATCTGGGAAGGAAGCCAGATAGGAACTGACATGACCCACCAGCACTTACACTTAGCTTCTCAGTGACAACAGGCTAATCAAATCCATTTTAAAAATTAATCTACACAAGACCCCTCACACTAGGAAGGGGGAGGAAGAACTAAATCTTGGAGGTCAGAGGCTTGCCTAAGGTCACAGGGATAGCCAGATCTGGGGCACATTAGCACAACTTCCTACCTTGCAGCCCAGAGTGCCCTTCCAGTTGCTGTTGAGCTTCAGCCCCGTGGGGCTGACTCTTGGACAGGTGCCAGGTCACTTGCAGGAACCCTGCTTTTTGACGCACCTACTAGCTGAGCAGTCTTTTCCCACTCAACGCAGGGTGGAGCTGTTCCCTAAATCAGGGGTGTCAAACTCATTTTCACTGGGGGCTACGTCAAACTCATTTTCACTGGGGGCTACGTCAGCCTCCCAGCTACCTTCATAGAGCCGAATGTAATTTTAGGACTGTGTAAATGTAACTACTTAACTAGGGACAAGGAGCTCAGTGCAGCAGCCCGGAAGATGGGGGCAGATAAAACAAGGTGGAGGGCCAGATTCAGCCTGGGGCCTTCTGTTTGCCACCTGTGCACTGATCTGGCCCCTTTAAGACCCACTTACTGAGGAGATAGGGAAGCACATTTCCTTCCCACCCCCCCTACCCCCGTCTTATGAAATACCCCCGTCTTGATGATGCTTGGTCACATGAAAACCGTCTCTCCCCTCCACTATATGCTGCTTTTCGATGGATACATATTTTTACTTTATTCCCCCAGTTAACATTCCAAGTCGGAGGCAGATGTGCAACTTGAAAAGTTTTATTTCCTAACTACAGACAGCTTTAAAGACTGAACATCTGCCGCTCCCACCACCGGAGCGAGTAGCGGCAGGTAGGCGAGGAGACGGAGCTTTGGGGTTGACTTCCCAGGGAGAGAAGCCCCATGCCCAGCTCCGCCCTCACTGGCCCTTCTTGTAGGCGTTCTTGATGATGGCGTTTCTGAACAGCGTCACCAAGGGCGTCTGGCTCTTCTCTGACGTCATGAAGCCACCGTAGCGCTTGCCCTTGGGCGGGTTGCCCCAGCGGAAGTGCTCCATCTTATAGGGCCCCCCGTCCTCCTTCGCCGCCGCGGCCGCTTCGGCCGCGGCCACCAGGCGGTACTCCAGACCGGCTCGGGCCGCAGCGCCCTCAGCCAAGCGCTCGGGGTTCAGCGCCGGCTCGCGCCGCACCCCAGCCTGCTCCCTCTTGAACTCGAGGGGGAAGGCCTCGGCCGACTCGTCCTCGGCGCCATTGGGGTACACCTTCACTGGGCGCCGCTTCTTGCCCACCGGCTTGCCCCAGCGGAAGTGCTCCATGGAGTAGGAGCGCTTGTCCTCGCGCGGGCCCGGCTCGGCGCCAGCGCTCGCGGCTGCCACCACCTCCTCCTCCTCCCGCTTCCCGCTCGCGCCGGCCCAGCCGCTGCCGTTCGGGAGGCCGAGGCGGTCCCAGCGGAAGTGGCCCATGGTGTACTTCCGGGGGTTCTCGGTCGGGGGCTGCTCCTCGCCGTTGCCGGGGAACACGGGCGTCTCGGCCGAGAGATCGGGCTGACAGGGCTGAATGCAGGCCTGCTGGAGAGCGAAGCGCGTGAGGGCACCGCGCCGCGTGACCCCGCACCCACGTTCGGCTGGACTCCCGCACCACGTACCAGCCGCCCTGCTGGGGTCGCTTGCCCGCCTGCCTTCTTGGCACCCGCAGACGTCTGGGACGGAGCTCGAACACCGTCTCTTTAGTTTCCTGTGTGCCTTAGTATGTCTGCCCGGCGACTACAACGCACCCTGCGTTCCCTCCGTGCCTACCGGTCATGTAGCTTTTGTGAACAGTGCCAGTATAGGAACCGGTTGGTCAGTGGCAGGGGGTGGCAGTTGTTTGCACTCAGTAAATAGCGCAAATAAATAGGGTCCAATGCGAGTCTCAGTGGGGCATACGGCTAAAATTGGGAAGAATATCGCCGGGTGGGAAAAGTAGAAAATTAACTTTACTTTCAATAATGCCTCAACTGTACCCTGGTGCTCTGCAGGCCTATCTCATGCCCTACCCCAGCCACCTCCTACCATGCCTCAAAATTTTCCCACCTCCATTTGGCACTTTCTCTGTCTTTCAAGTCTTCTGAGCTGAAATCCTGTGCTTTCTTTCTCCAATCAGTAGACTTTGGGAGGGAGTGGTTCACTTCCCTGTCACCTCATTCTGATTGGAGGTCAGGGAGAAAGCCAGGAGTACTTCCCTTGCGTGGGTCTCGGAACCCCAGTCTCTGACCAGACCAGTGGACTGTGGTACACAGTTGCTTAGGAAAATGACCTGTAGTGTGGAGTTTTCAGTTACTCAAGACTGCAGGGGGGTAAACAGCTCCCACCCACCCTGCTGAGTTGGGAATTTCATGCTGCACAGATTGGGAATTATAACACTACAGAACATTAATGGGATAATGAAATTGTCTCATACTCCTCTCCCCTGGACATATGAAACAGGAGGCTCAAAGAGGCAGAAGGCCCTTGGCAAGGTTCCCCAGCTCACTGGCCACAGAACTGAGACGAACCCAGGGGGTTCTGACCATGACCAGTGCCCCTTCCCTAGTGAGCTCTCCACAGGAGAAGCTGTGCAATGGGCATCCCGCCGTGAGTCCCTGAACTAGAGCCCTCAGGATTTTCTGGGCTCTTTGTTTCTATTTTCTATTCCACATGAACCTGCTCTGCATTTTTGAGGACGTCTCTCTTACCTTAACTCAGCGTCTCCACTGACAGAACACACAGAATGTAATGACATGCATCCCACCCTTACCAGGCAGGTGCTGGCAGCAGGGTGGAACTCAGTCACTGATGCCAGCAGTGTCTTTTAGTCCTTGACATGCTATAATTGCTCATTTATGCCTACACACACACACACACACACACACACACACACTCACACCCTGTGGCGACCTGGAGGGAATTCCAACCTGGCCCAAATGACCTTTACATGCTTCTGTAAAGGCTGTGGGTCTGTCTTCCAATAGGAACTCCACACTTTTGGCACTAGTTAGAGAAAAATGGCAATGGCAGTGGTATTCTTTCTCTCCCTAGAGATGATTTGCAGTAATACCTAGCTCACTTTGTAACTGGTAGTAGATAGAAAAGGAAGAAAAATGGAATTAAATGGCAAATGATATGAGGTTACTTTAAAAGGAGTAATTTGGGAGCTAAAAGACAAAATGTAAGCTCAACTGAGAAGCAATCATTGTTATTACTATTATTAGCATGAGTGTTATTTTAATGGCACTATCTCTAAATAGCTGCTTCTTCCCCTCCTCCGGCCCACGCTGACTTCGCCTTGGGGGTCTATTCCTGACCTGGGCTTACCTACATCTCTGGGAATGAACTTTCCTTCACCATAGTACTTCCGTGTGCGCTGTCCCGGCCCCAGTCCCAGCCCTGGCTCCCTCTGGTGCCCCACAGTGACATGATGGCCATGGCCCACATACCAGCAGGTTACTCTCTGAGGTGAGGTCCTGACACTGGCTGCTCTCCAGACACCAGCCGTGCACTTCCATGGAGGCCTGAAGCAACAAGGCAAACAGTAGGGCCCCCGAGCGGCTGCAGCACGATCGAGGCATCTTCCAGGCAGGCTGGGGCTCTGCAGAGGCAAACAAGATTGGTGGGACCCCTGCAAGGAGCAGAACAATGTTGGCCACTCACCAGGAAGGTCCGGGAGCCAACATTAACAACACAATCACCCGCAGAGCACGAGGCTTTTTGAGGACAAGGGCAGTTCAAGAAGGCTGGTGTGCAGGGAGGTGCGAATTGTGCTAGAGAAGAGGGGAATAGGACCGGGGCAACCATGTGCCATTTCCCCTTTATCTCCTGTTAAGAATCAGGCCCCAAAGAAGTTAGGGCTGGAAGCCAGTTTAGGGGTCATTTGGTTCAGCCTCTTATTTGAGCGACGGGGAAGCTGAGGCCCAGAGAGAGACAATAACCTTTCCTGTTTCTAACACAGAGCTTTCCTATTTCCCCACCTTCACGAAGCTGTAGTTGTAACACTTCAGACCCAAGGAGTAACTTGGGAAACGCAAGGACTCTGAAACTCCTGCTCCAGAGGGTCTCTTCCCCTCGTCCCCCACCGAGATCCTACCATTCCTCAGAAGCTCTATTTCCTGTGAATACTGTGGGTTTGTATAAAGGCAAATAAAACCTCTGGCCAATTTAGCCAAAACCTCAGGCAACCTGATCTGCTGCCCTGTACACAGACGACTGCGGTGATCACTATTTGCAGACCCCTGCGAATTTGGAGAGATTTATTTTTAAAGCAACCCCCATTCTTTTAAAAACAAATCATCTTCTGAACACATCACATGTCAGACCGCGTGCTCTGATTCTGTGATGCTGCAGGTGTAGAGGGAATGACCTTTCAAAGGGGAACACCTACCAAAGATACTTTCAAGTACCTCGCTGCAGGTCAAGACCTCGCTGAGGCCAAGGTCAGGCTGCATCAGGCTGCCTGATGCTGCCTCTGCCCCACGCTTCCCCCAGCTCTCTCTCGAGCTCCCATGCCGCCAAGTCCTTCCCCACCTAGGGTGGCCCCACTTTCTTTCTGTCCTCAGCTCATCCCAACCCCACAACCACTTTGTGTTGTAAAAGATCTTCTTAACCAGCTGTTGGGGAGAAACCTACTAATTAGATGAGACAAGTGATTCCCATTAAAGGCGAGGATGAATAATTGTCTCTCCTAATGGACATTTGCATTTTAAAATGTTTGCCTGAAAGAAACCTCTCGTGTGTGGAGGCATGGGCCAAATTTTTTACAGGAGAGGCTTTGGAAGTGCACGTTCTCTCTGGCTCTCAATTGTCTACTGCAGGAAGCCACTTCCTTCTCTCTGCCCCACCCAAAGCTGAGCCGATTTTCCCCAAAGCTGAACCAGCTCAGGGCTCCCTTCTGAATGGTGGCCAGGTCCTGCCTGAATGTTTTCAGAGCAGCCATTAGATGGTGCTGGCAGCCAGTGAGCCGGCCCATCAGCATCCCAGGCAACTGGGGGAGAGCATTGGTCAACCTGATGTCCAGTGACCAGGGACAGGCTGCTCCTGTTGTGGACTTCTGATGCTCCGGTCCGAGTGTGAAGCCTGAACTTGGTGGACAAGGAGACTCATACTAAAGCTGTGAGACCACAGGGCACACTCAGGTCAGAAAGTTGCCCAGATTTACACTGGAAGCAGGAAAATGACAACCACGTCTCACTGTAGCAAGTGCAAAATAACCTATTAGTAGAGAAAGAAGTAAGATCACACAGATTTGACAGTTTCCTCAACTGTATTTCACGTGTCCTCCGAACTGGCCGTTCTGGAGTGATTTCCAGTTTCTCAAAACCCACCTCCGGATCTCAGGCTTCAGCTTCCGCCCTGCTGGCTGCATTGCCCACATGGGCTCTGCCCCACCCACACCCTCTCAGAGCTCCGGGCTGCTGCTCCAGAGTTAGGCTGCTTCCGGAAAGCACCTCGTCTTCTGTTTGCTTGCAGGTAGTCTTTATTTTTCTACAATGAATAAATATTGCCTTGTGCCATTCTTTTTAAAGAAAGCAATATAGCAATGAGGAGATGTCAAATATAGTGCTTTCCACAAATAGGGAGAGTGTTTGGAAAGCCTTGGAAAAATAAACAGAAGTCTGTATTTGTTCATCTTGACATGAGCTTTACTATAGAACTACACTTACTAGAACTTCATACGTGTAAGTGAATTCTCTGTGAGCCAAACAGGGCACTTTGTGTTTCTACAGAACTGCACCCTGGTCATGTCCGTCTACAAAGACCAGCAGAGCAGAGGTGCACAGTTTTGTCCTTGTACCAAGTTACACACGGCCCAAGTCCTAAAACAGAAGCGTCAAAGGATGAATTAAGTCATTAAGTAAGCCCTAATCTGAACATATCTTAACAATTGAGGGAACAAACACACACTTGTACTTTCCTCGGTTCCTTCTGCCATTCTGCGAGATCACCACCTCCCCCATTAGACCTGAGAAATCGGTGTCACTCTCCCTCCTGCACTGGGGACCGCCCTCGCCCGCGCCTCCGCCAGCTCCAGCGGCCGCGGGCGCCCTGCAATCTCCGGTCGGCGGACAGAGGGTCCCCTCCGCGGTCTGTCAAGGGCAGCGCGGGCGGTTCAGGACCTCGGACAGTTCCTGCCCCGCCTCCCCTATTAAACCCAGCGGGGCCTCGTCCAGGAGCCCGCGGCCCGTCTCGGCGCGGCCGGGTGGGGTGCACTTAAGGCGGGCGGAGAAACGAGGACTCGGGGGGTCTGAATCCCAAAAGTCTGAAATGCAAGGACTTGGTTGTGACTTTTAGCCTTTTCTCTCCTACCCCAGTTTCCGACGTTAATTTGCGCTACACTGTACGGCATCTGGCCAGTGACATCTACCCAGAAAGTCAGGCGGAGCAGGCGCCTTAAGACCGGGCTCTCCCCAGAAGGCGGTGGGAGTCTCGGGGGTCCTCGCGGCCCCACCCCTCGGGGGACACGCGGCCGCCAGCTCCGGAGGGCGCCGCTCCTGGTCGCAGCCGCCCTCCTCCTGCCGCCCCGCGGCACTCAGCACAGAAAGTTGTCGAAAGACACGGGACCGCGGGCGTCCCGGGTGAGGGCGAGGTTCCGCACGCTGCGCCCTTACCTGTCGCGGAGACCCCGCTCGGTGGGCGATTCCCGCTGCGCCGGAGCGAGGATGATCCGCGGCCTCTCCGGAGGGGTCGCTTTCCTTCCGTCCTTCCTCCTCCTCCCCGCCTAGTCCCGGTGGCTCTTCCCGGTCCTTTTATACGGGGTTCGCCGGAGTGGGCGCTGGATGCGAACTTCCCGGCAGGGCCGCGTAACGAGCAACTCCCCCGTCCCTGGGAGGGGGGGCGTGGGGCGCGGGAGGGGGGTTTCCAGGTAGAGGCTGGGCGCAAAGGCAGACGTGCCCGGAAAGGGGGCTGCATCTCGGCCCCGGAGGCTGGAATTAACACTGTCCCGCAGAAGGACGCACCTGGCGGCCGTCAGGAAAGAACTTAATTAAGGGCGGTGTTGGGTCTCCAGTTGGGGCGAGCAGGCGGCTTAGCGCCCCGGTGCAGGGCGCGCCGCTGAGGCGGTGGGGGAGAGGGCGAAGTTGCTCCTGTGCGGGCTTTGACTGGCGGCCGCCTGGTTCGCGTTTGCAGGTAAATGTCACCGCACTGAGAGGACGTCAGGGACACCTCACATTTCCCCAGCATTTGGGGACTGATGTCACCAGGAATCACAGTCCCTTGTTCCAGGGGTTGGGGAGTGGGCAGTAACAGAGAAGGTCGGGAGTCACTCACCTGAGGTCCAGAACAGGTTGCCTTCTCCAGTCGGGAAGGGAGTTGCACAAGCCCAGGGCCGGCCCCTCCTGTACCCCAAACCCCAAGGAGAAGGTGCTGCTAACCTTAGAGTATTAATAAATGGGGGGTGCTCTTTGAAGAGCAGCTGCAGTGCTTCCCTTGTGGCCTCTGAGGCCTCCCCGCACCGTGAGCTGGCTCGGTGGTCTGGGGGCTCTCAGTCCTCTCGGAGCCTGGCCCTGGAGCACTGGCTGGGCCCTAGTCCCTAGTGTCAGGTCAGGGAGAAGCCAGCACTGGACCTGCAGCGGAAGCAACTCCACCTGAACCCTGCGGGTTATTGAGATGTGTTCTGTTTCATTTCCAAACACGGGGGATTTTCTGGTTATATTTTGAAACTAACATTTAGCCCAAGTCTCCTGTGATCAGAGAACATGCTCTGTTTGGTTTCAGTCCTTTGAAACTGGGGGCAGAGGGCTGTTTAACGGACAGATGTGTGGTCCATTTTGATGAACGTTTTCTTGTGCATTTCAGAAGCACAGGGACCCTGTGTTTGCTCAAATATTCTATATCCTTTCTATACTTGTATCTTTTGTAATTGCATGTCATCTTATTCCATTAATTACTGATTGAAGTATGTTTTAAAAATCTCCCCATGATTTTTGTGGATTTGTTTAGTTATTCCTTTAGTCCTGGCATAAAAACAACTCTTCCTAGAAATCTAATCATGAATGGGAGGCAGTGGCGGAGGGTCAGAGGGTCAGAGGGTCAGAAGTAAAGACGGCAGAAGGTGCTAGAATGTGGTTCATGCTGTTGGGAGTCACAGAGGGGGAAACTGATGCGGCAGGTGAGAGTGGGGGAACCAAATAATCCGAGCCCTACGCAGAAGCAGACCCAGAGGACCAGCCTGGCCCACCAATAGCAGAGGGGCTTCCTCGTCCCTGACAGCGGTGAAGGGGGAGGGGAGGGGCAGACGCAGACCCCTGGGCCAGGCCACGGCGGCATGATGGACTTTCGTCTGTACCACGGCCTTTACCTTTTAACCCAGAATTTCCTGGGCATTATCCCGAGGAAATTACCTAGCAGTTATACTAAATGCTGCTTCAAGACTATTCGTACCACATTATTATAGTGGCAATAAACTGAAATTAAATCGAGCATTTATAGTAAGGTAGAATCAAAATTATGGTAAAGCTGTACAATGAAAGATTCTGCAGCCATTCAAAGTAATAATGCAGATATTAATTTCTAGATATAAAAAATGGCCACTATATGTTGTTAAGTGGGGGAAGTATGATGATACAGTAGATGTAAATATAGGCAGTGATGGAGACAGAAATAAAGACCAAATAGTTCTCTACTGCTATATCGCAAATCACCCCCAAAATTGATTGGTTCAAAACAACAACATTTATTTTTTTTAATTTATTTTTTAAAATTGATTAAGCTGTTACAGTTGTTCTATTCCCCCCTTCATTCCCCTCCCCCCTGCCCCCCCATCCCCACCATTACCCCCCCTTTAGTTTATGTCCATGTGTCTCAAGTCCTTTAGGTTCTATATTTCCCATGCTATTCTTGCCCCCCCCATCTATTTTCTATCTACTGTCTATGCTACTTATTTTCTGTACCTTGTCCCCCCATCTCCTCCTCCCACTCCCCTGTTGCTAACCCTCCTTGAGATCTTCATTTCTATGTTTCCACTCCTGATCTAGCTATCCTTTTAGTTTTCTTGTTTTAGGTGTGGTTGTTAATAACTGTGAGTTTGTTGTCCTTTCACTGTTCATGTTTCTTTAACTTCTTTTTCTTAGATAAGTCCCTTTAACATTTCATATAATAAGGGCTTGGTGATGATGAACTCCTTGAATTTGATCTTATCTGAGAAGCACCTTATCTGTCCTTCCATTCTAAATGAAAGTTTTGCTGGATAGAGCAATCTTGGTTGTAGGTCTTTAGATTTCATGACTTGGAATATTTCTTTCCAGCCCCTTCTTGCCTGTAAGGTCTCTTTTGAGAAATCTGCTGCCAGTCTGATGGGGACTCCTTTGTAGGTGATTGTCCCCTTAGCTCTGGCTGCTTCTAGGATTCTCTCCTTCATTTTAATCTTGGCTAATGTAATTATGATGTGCCTTGGTGTGTTTCTTCTTGAGTCCAACTTTTTTGGTACTCTCTGGGCTTCTTGGATTTCTTGGAAGTCTATTTCCTTTGCCAGATTGGGGGAATTTTCTTTTATTATTTGTTCAAATAAGTTTTCCACTGGTGGCTGTGCCTTTCCCCCTTCTGGTACCCCTATAATTCGGATATTGGAGTGTTTAAAGATGTCCTGGAGGTTCCTAAGACTCTCCTCATTTCTTTGAATTCTTGCTTCTTGACTCTTTTCTGTTTGGCCATTATTTGCTTTCTTCTGGTCCACTCCATTGATTTGAGTCCCAGTTTCCTTTTCATCGCTATTGGTTTTCTGTGGAATTCCATTCATTTCCATTAGTTTAGCCTTCATATGTTTCTCTAATTTGTGGCTATAATCAACCAGATCTGTGAGGATCCTGATGACCAGTGTTTTAAACTGTGCATCTGAGAGTTTTGCTATTTCTTCGTGGCTTAGATTTATCTCTGGGGCTTTGAGGTCTTCCTGCGACATTTTTGGTCTGTTCTGGCCCTTTAAATGTGAGAAGCGGCGCCTTGGACTCCCAGGTCGCTGGGTTGTGACGCTGTATGTGGAGGCGTGGTCAGAGCGGGGAAATGGCGGCGCCCTCTACCGCTGCGGCCGGTCCAACCGCCCACTCCCTCGCCTGTCCGCTCTCACGCAAATAGGCGACCGCAGTCAACACGCAGCACCGCTTCCCCACTGTCTCCTCTGTAGTCGCTCGCCTGGTGGGTTGCTCAGTCGCTCACTAGGTCCAATCCTGCATTTGGAACCCGTGCGTCTGGATTCGCGCGTCTGGATTCCGCGCCTGGGTCTGTCCGACCGAGTCCTCCTGTGCAACCCCTCACCAGAAGCCGGTTTCACCCCTTACCGGTCGGGCTGAAGAATTTGTTGTTAACGGACTTCCGAAAAGTTCAATTTTCCGTGTTCTGGTTGTGTTTTCTGATGCTAATATTTAGTTGTCC